ACTACCATACATATTGTTCCAGAAAATAAAGTCCGGGACAAAAAGGGGACACCGAAGAGGAGGGACTTCACTTCTCTTTTCTTGGAAAGAATTTCTTAAAATGTGAAACTATTCCTTTAAAAACACACACATGCCAACATACACACACTATGGGCCAACATAGTCCCAAATGTCTTCAATCAACATATATAAACTCTCTGTATCAACACTCACAGCAGACTGGTGCGTGACGTCCTGCTGGGTAGGTACAGTCTACTCATGCTGACTGCTTGTATTACATTGGACTCAGTATACAGTATCAGATACTGTATGGACTGCACATTACTGTTATTGTGTATATAATTATCTTATATTACTGGATGTAATATGTATTATGTACCATTTATGTGATTTAGATTTGTTATCAGTAGATATTACTGAATTGCTACTAAACACTACTATAGTGGTAGTGGTTCCTCTGAAGGGATTATGCCCAATTATTAACTCAGACAAAGCCAACACCGGTCCCAGCTGTACCACCTGCTCTAAAATATCTTATAAAGTTTCAGAAGAGAAGATTATAGTGATTATAGAGTTGTATTTATTATTTTATTGTCTTAGGAGGGCACATTAAAATGATCTATGTTTATTTCAGACAGGATTTAGCCGATTTGGACATGAATTTTTCTTCTGTAAATGGCACTTCAGCTGTTACTGGGATTCAGCGGGACACCTTTACCACAGCTGTGACCAAGAATGTGATCGTCACCGCTCTCTGCATCTCCATTAACTACATCAATGGTACTCTGGTCCACACATTCAGAAAGCACCAGGTCTGATATTCGCCTTTGTTTTTACACAATATATGTGCAAGTCAGCAGCAGAGGGAAATGCATGTTGAATCTCTCGGCCTTTAACTTCAAATCTAATTCTTTCCCTCTCAGCTTTAAACAGGTGTTATTTTTTGAAAATGTCAAATGTTTTAATAACTTTAACAAATCAGTAAAATAAAATAATAATAAAATAAGCTAGACCCATTTCAATATTTAGGATTAGGTTATAAAAGAAACAATGATTTTATCAACCTGGAAAATATCAACCAAGAAATTAAATAATGACAACATGTTAAAAAAATACATGTATTTGCACCATCAGATGAGCACGGTGGAAGTAATACTACAGTGTATACTTAAATACTCTGTTACAAGCAAAAAACCTACATTCAAAATTTTAAGTAAACTTAACTTAACTATTGGCATTACTCATATTTATGTGCTCATTATTCAGAATGACCCATTTGAAATAAATATAAATATAACTATAAATACACATCATATTAGTTTAGAATCAGTGATACATTAATGTGTAAGCATGTTGCAGCTGGTAAATGTGGGCCTGACTTTAACTTGTGGGTTTACAATTCACCAAAAGTACAGCGGCAGTGGTCAAACATTTTATTTCATTACAAAATTACAGATTATTTTACAGTTAAGTCCTAAACAAATATTCTGCATTCTCTCCAAAGCTTGGCAAATAAATAAAATAATTAAAATAGGATCCCTTTCTGAAGCACAACTCAAGTTTTTCATAATCATCCAGCCAAAAGAAATCCTCATAAATGGAGAACATTTTTTACAGAAACAGACATCCCTTACATCCAAAGTACCTCAAACTTGTACTTAAATACAGACCTGTGTAAATGTACTTAGTACATAATATTAATGTGATTTGGATCCTTGCTTCTAATGTTTATGTTTTCTATTTCTATGCATAATTGGGTTAGTCATATTGAGTGGAAAGATTTCTTTAAATCTGTGTTTTTCTGACGTATCGTAAAGGCTAGACATTACCAGATCCCACATGTGCTTTTAGTTACACATCCTCTGAAAGACAAGGTAGCTTTCATTTATTGCTCATTTATTTGGGGGTAAATTTGCTACAATATTGTCTGTTTACTTGTTGTGAGTCAACAATAGCCGACTGTGCATTCTGCTTATATTGTCACATAGTGCAACATTTCCTTTTTTGCACTCTTGCTGAAACAAAACAGCTTGAAAAGAAAATGAAAGCAGCAAAATACGAGCTGGAGAAAGCAAGTTGTAATGAACTAAAGCACCTACAATACTACGGTCAGCACTAATCCTATCCCCCTTCAGATCTTCAGTTCAAACCCTCGTTACATTCTCTTCATCCACCTGGTGATAAATGACATGACGCAGCTGCTCCTGTCAACTCTTCTCCACATCATCAGCTACGCCCTTCACACAATCAACGCATCCTTCTGCCTCATCCTGCTCACCATCACCATCCTCACCACCCTCAACACCCCGCTCAATCTGGCTGGCATGGCGGTCGAGTGCTACATCGCCATCTGCATCCCCCTCCGTCACGCACAGATCTGTACCATGAAGAAAACCTACATCCTGATTGGTCTGATCTGGGTTGCGAGTGCGTGCTCTATCCTCCCAGATGTCTTCATCCTCTTGGCCACAGAGCCGCTGCAGTTTTTTCACTCTAAGTTGTTTTGTTCCAGAGATTTCGTGTTCAGAAGCTCTTACAGCCTGAAGAAGAGGGATGCTTCACACATCGTTTGTCTTGTTCTGGTCTGGGCCACTCTCTTCTACACTTACTTCAGGATTCTGTTCACTGCCAAGGAAGCAAGTGCACAACTTAAAAAAGCCCGGAACACTATTCTCCTCCATGGCTTCCAGTTGCTGTTATGTATGCTTACTTACGTGAGACCCATGTTTGAACAGGGCCTGCTCTACTTACTGCCCACAGAGCACCTGGCTGTACGCTTTGCCTGCTATGTCATTGTCCAGATCCTCCCACGGTTTGTTAGTCCGATAGTCTACGGACTGCGGGACCAGACCTTCAGGAGATACATGAGAAGGTACCTGCTTTGTAAAGCGAGCACAAGCATCCACCCAGAAAATGACACCGTGTCACACATAAAGCCCACAATGAAACTGCACTGAGACTTTATCAGTTTCTAACCACAGTCTGGCAAACACTGCACGTATATTATGTAACATCTGCAGACCACAACAATCCTTTATCTCAACAGTGCAAAGTATGGTTGTGTTTAAAATTATTGTGGTTTTGTTTTTATTCATATTTCAAATATAAGGGTACGATTAGAACTGTAAATACATTTCAATAAATACTATATCTCACATTTGAAGGCAATATTTTCTCACTTTTTTAAGGTTTCTTCTCAAAAACGGTCATTTAGATTAGTCAAAATATTCTAAGATATAAGATACATTTTGTATTAAATATTTAATTTGTTGTAAAACTCATCATGAGAAATGTCAGGGTATGCAATTACTTCACATTATTATTAAAAAAAAACACTGTCTGAATAAACAAGACTCAATACTCATACTATAAATGAATATTATATATGATATATATTCAGATCTTCTGTTACTGAGGGGAATTAAAAGCAGAAGAGCAGAAAACATGGTTTTAATGAAGTAAATGTTTGAGTGTAACTTCCCTGTCTCCTCTCATGTTCTAGCATGTATGGCCTGTTTTACATTACGTCCAATGCACATTAGCCTTGTTACATCTTGATCTGCACATTATATGCAAAGAACAGATAACATATGAACAGATGAATTATTTAAAGAACCAGTGTGTAGGATTTAGTGGCATCTAGTGGTGAAGTTGCAGACTGCTCAGCCTTCAAAGTGTGGAGCTAACAACGGTGACCATGAAACTCTTTTTAGAGCCAGTGTTTAGTTTGTTCGCTGTGGGCTTCTGTAGAAACAGCATGGCACTTCAGCATGGTGGCCTCCGCAGAAGAGGACCCGCTCCCTCTGTAGATAAAAACGACTCTAAGCTAACGAAAACACAACAATTCTTATTTCCAGGTAATTATACACTAATGAAATCATATCTATGATTATTATATTCAATTTCTGACAATACATCCTCTAGCAGTACTGCAACCTGAAGACCCGGAGTTCCAAGACAGTTTTTTCTATCAGGCAACCAGACTGAACAAATGAACTCTAACAGCCTGTTTGCTGTCTGACTGTGGCACATACAGACCCACAAACAACTACACACACATTTGCACACACACAGCCTCTTGAACTCCTTATTTATTACAATTTTATTGTGTTTTCTTTAGAAACAGACATAACCTATCTTATGTCTGTATAATAAGATACAACAATAAAGGAATCATGAACATTTAATCTAAAGTTATTTATAAATGCCAAACATAAGTAATTCTAGCTCTGATATTGTATATCTTTTATATTTGATTAACCCTGTATGGCTTCATATATCACAGTCCTGGAGAGCTGCAATAATTAGTTAAGTCTATTAACAGAAAATTAGAAAATTAAGGAATTTTTTAAGCAAAAATAATGCCTTCTTCTAGCTTCACAAATGAAAGGATTTGTTTGGACCAAATTATGAATAAATATTGAAAATAATAGTTGCAGCCTACATTCCTGAAACCGCCCTAATGTGAGGAAACACATCAACAAAGATGTCAGAGGAAGCTACAGTTCACCAAACACTACATGAAGTTTTATAAGTAGGTTCAGGAACAAAGACCACAGACCAGAGTCTCACAACCCACTCGGTTCCTTCTCCCCTTCATCCCTCAACTCTTTATCCCCTCATCCCCTACCCCTCGACCCTCATCCCTTCATCCTTCAACCCTTTCCTGGTCCATTCATCCCTCCTACAGTAATCCACATTCATTTATTCATTACCTGCAGTACACCTTTCTAAATTCCACACGTTCATAGGCGTGTTCTTTGTTAGTGAATCTACGTTAAATGATATGAAAATGTGAATAAAAGAAAAGTCACATCACAGGATGAAGAACTATGCTTTAAACTCACCGTCATCCACGTGATCTCCATCATTATCATCATCATCTTCATCTTCATCTTCATCTTTCTCTTCTCTGACAAACACTGAGGAGAATGATGACAGGAACATTAATTAGGTCTGTTTGAAAGTGTTTATAAAGGCTCGTCTTTGAAGCTGTCTGCCTTCTGTGCGTCTGACCTGGACTCAGGTAGGTGGATCAGGACTGAGATGGTGCTGAGGAAGACTTATATCTTTCATATTTAACTCTTCGTCAAGCAGTATTACAACGTCAGTTTCTTCACCTGTTGGCAGTTATTCTATCAAATTATTTACAGTTTGAATCCAGATTCAATTACAATTAAAATCTTAATGTAAATATATTTCTTTGTATAAGTAGCTGCTCTGACATTTAATATTTTGATAGTGTCTTAAAAGTTTAAGAGAAACACATTGTGTAACATTGTGATTATTTGTGATTCTATTACATTTGTCTTGTACTGAAGAATACCGTTATGTTTGAGTCGCAGACTGAGCTTTGTTAGAGTTTGCTGCTATTTGAAATCGTTCATGCACCAGCCTTTGTTAATATAAATGAAATAATTAAAGTTAATACATGTTTTGATGGTTTGTGTCAGACAGGCATTGAGGGACATAAAGACTGAGGTTATCTTGGTAATAATTGCAGACTGTTCATGTTTGTATGTCAGGACATTTAATTTGAATAATTTTCTGTGGTTTGCAACACCAGAGCAAAGGTTTAGGAAATGTTTTGATTTATTTTATTTATAGGTGAACTTTAGTGTCAGGTTCCCAAACTGCCAGAGTTTGCTGCTCAAGGTTTGATTAAGTAAAAATTGAAATACAATTCACAGCACTTCAGGGTAATATCTTATTAATTAATTTACTTATTATTAATGTATGTGTCTTTTTCCAAATGAAAACGAGAGAACAAAAACTTTTCACGTTTATTTTACATGATTTTGAATTCTCAACAATGTAGTCAAACTAATGTGTATGCATCATAAAAGTGCTGTTTTAATACATAGAATTGACCAATATTTTGTAGTAATAGATTTATTAAACTGATTATATTGCAAATTATAAATGTAAATGTTAATGTTTACTCTCTCTCTCTCTCTCTCTCTCTCTCTCTCTCTCTCTCTCTCTTCTCTCTCTCTCTCAGGTCTTAGTGAAGTATGAGCTCATCAGTGAGCCCCGGAGGCAATGTGACATTTCCTTATCAGGTTCTATGAAACAGTTTTGCTGCCACATGTTTTGAAGTTAATCCTTACATCAATGAACAAGTAGAACTTTTTTTGATTTGTTTGCACTGTTGTATTGCTAATTTTGAAAACTGTAAAAAATTCTAGGTCACTACTTTGGTGTAAATGTCATCATTGCTGCTCCTGAATGCACCACACACACACACACACACACACACACACACACACACACACACACACACACACACACACCACGCACACACGCACGCACATAAGGCCTTTAATTCTTCTCAAGACTATCACAAAAAATAAACCTGCAGTCTTTCTGTATAGTTAAATGTTGTTGCAGTCAGCGGAGGAGAGGAAGTCAAGACTGTCATTTCATCTTTAATCATAATTAAGTTACATGAACTGATACTCTTTAAGGTGTCACATTGTGGTGAGTGTTAAGGAATATTATATATTTCAGCTGATAGAAACCCGGTGATGGATTTATTGTATTGATTGATCGATCGTATTTGACAGTAACTTCTATTTCTTTCCCTTTGGCTCCCTCTGTTGTCGGATCAGCTCCTGCTCGTCAGAGACACCTACACCACTGCATTTGTGAAGAACCTGATTGTGGTTCTGGTCTGGCTCATCCTCAGTTACATCAATGGCACCTTGGCTGCCACCTTTTTTAGACACCAGGTACACACACACACACACACACACACACACACACACACACACACACACGTTCCAGCTTCTCAAATGTGAGGATTTGTTGCTTTCTCTGTTTTATTTAATTTGTTCATGTGTTTTGTAATGTAAAAAGTGATTTAGTGATTGATCTAAGGCATTTTCCTCCCTATTTTGTAAAATGTTATGGACCAATTGATTAATCCATTAATCAGCTGTCAATGAATAAAATAGAAATGATTAGTTGATTATCCAAATAGTTGCAGATTAATTTAACAGTCAACAACTAATCAATTAATCAATTAATCGTTGCAGCCCTATCTAACTGTGCCACTATATTTTTCACTCCTTTGTCTTCCCACAGACTTTTTATGAAGACCCTCGTTACATCCTCTTCATCCACATGGTGATCAACGACGGCATCCAGCTGACCGTCACAATCACACTGTTTGTCCTCAGCTACATTTTCTACAAGATTAACGTCTCTTTCTGCTGCTTCTTCATCCTGGTGGCGGTCTTCACCACCAGAAACACCCCGGTCAACTTAGCGAGCATGGCCATAGAACGCTATATTGCCATTTGTGAGCCTTTACGCCACAGCCAAATCTGCACAGTGAAAAGAACTTACATTGTCATCGGGTTGATTTGGTTTATATGTGTTGCTCCAGATATTACAGATCTGTTTGTGACGCTGGCAACGGAGTCCCTGAGCTTCTTTCATGAGTCTGTGTTCTGCTTGCGCCAGAATGTGTTCAAAGACCCGATCCTGGCATACAAAAGACAGGTCTTTGATATCATCTACTTCTCCTGTGTGTTTCTGACTCTGGTCTTCACCTATTTGAGGATCCTGTTTGCAGCCCGGGCCCTCTCCACAGAGAAGATGTCAGCCAAGAGAGCCAGGAACACCATCCTGCTCCACGGGGCCCAGCTGGCCATGTGCATGCTGTCCTACATCTCCCCGAGTGTGGAGGTTGTTCTGCATCTAATCTTCCCCGGTCGAATCCTAGAAATCAGATATGCAAACTACCTGATCGTCTACATCCTGCCACGCTTCCTGAGCCCAGTAATCTACGGTATTAGAGACAAAAAGTTCAGGAAGTACCTCAAGATGCACCTTGTGAGCAACCGCTACAGGGTCAAACTGCGGACAGTGGCCCCCGAGCTGGCCACTGCCAAAGATAGCAGGACAAAGATTAAACAGTAAGAGCGTTTAAATAAAAGGGATTCACTCTTTAAAGAAATTAACCTTCTGATTTTTTATGTTATTGTAGATTATTGTAAAGATATAATCATAACAATGTCATAATGAAGTGTATGGAAATGGAAGCCTGTTAAATGGCAGTAAAAAACAAATAGGATTTATATATTTTATATGTGAATTTCCCACAATAAAAATATAGAAAAATATAACTGTCCTGTCAGTCCTGTGTCATGAGGCTTTAAATGGCACATTTAATAGTGACAGCATTAACACTGTAAGATGGTGATCGAGAGCCAACAGAGGTTTTAATTATAACATGATTTTTAAAGCAATACTGATCAATATCACATCACATATATTCCAATATTTATTCTAAAATATTCTAAAAGACACAACATTTCACACAATTTTCATACGGATCCCTCAGATTTTCTTATCTGTGACCAAGATAAATACAGAGTGGGATTCGAGTGGGAATCAATAACACTCTCTATGGCGCCCACGTCTATAATGTATTATAAACATACTTATAATGCATTACACTGTGCTTTTATTCACTTTACTTAAAGCTAGCAATCACCACTTAGAGTGACTTATAACCAGCTTGTAATGTATTATATCTGCTGCCTCAGGAATTTTATTACTTTACTTTAAGCACTTTACGACCACTTACAGTAACTGATAATAACATTATAATGCATTATAACAGCGATTATATTGCATTATAAAAAGGTCATAAAACGTTACAACCTTGCTGAAAGTGAGTGATATAGTTAGTGATATAATGGTATGTCTATAATGCATTAAACTATGTTACGATGACACATGGTGAGTTCAGCATTTCTGTACCTCAGGTTCTTCTGACTTATTGGCCGACACAATCTGCAATAAGCTAATATCAACCAACACATCAACCTGGACGATTTGTCTAATATTTATCCATAAACAGACAGACTGGAGGTGGATCTGTAGCAGCACACACACCGATCTCCATGTGAAACAGCAGAGACGCCACCTAGTGACACAAACCATTCCCTAACAGCTACACAGCCTGTCTATCACTGCAGGTTCACTTTTGTTCAATAAAATGATCAAATAAAATGAATAAAGTCATTAATAACCCTATCTATGTCATTTACTAGTCTGTAAATCACAAGGAAGTGTGCAGGAGACGGACTGACACAGTCTGCTTCACCATACAGACCCATCATCTTCATCATTAGTTAGACATATACTGGCCACCTGCAAAAGATAAACATGCTTAAACTTTAATAGGTTTATTTTATTGTAGTATTTGTATTTGGGGGGTTAGTTGCTTCAGATTTAGTCTGTTTTTATTTGGAGGATTATTTTGTGCAGCCAGCTGCCTCCCTGAATCCTGAATGCACCTAAAGATGTATGTTGGATTGTCTGATAAATAAAAAATCAATACTCTGACTAATGTTAATAGTAATTAACGTGTATTCTACCAATTATCCTCCATACTGCCTGAGATAATGACGACAGATCTAAAGTCACCTAATGCTCATTACATATGGATTACAGGGATCCATAACATTATGACCTTTACCCTATCCCTATGACGACCTGATCAATACACGCACACACACACATCCTTATAAATGAGACAACAGGCTGCTAGAGGAGGTCGCTGACACTGTCAGTGACTCAACAGGTGAGAGGGCTCTGTCAGTGTATTGTCATTATATGTCATCATTACTACTTTGTCTCAAAAGCTTTGGGATGCAGCTGATATTGATGTTACTATAAAGGCAATGAGTTTAGTTTCTTCTTTGGTTTTTAAAATGTTTGAAATGGTTTTATGTTGGACTAAAGCTGCCTGCATTGATATTAATGATAATTAATATTTAAGTGTATAATATGTGAATCTGCTGCAACAACAGTGAAACGAGATAATCATTTTAATGTGAAGTCACATGTTAAGACTGTAATCCTCACTTTCATTTTCAAGTGAATATTTATGAGTCACTCAATGAAGTAAGTTTTAAAGTTTGTATAAGAGACTATTAATATATTTATAATGTAAATCAGCTGTGTAAGAGGAGTTCAATTATAGTATTTCTAACACAGATGTTTAGATTTTGTTATACTTTTTAATATCAATTAAACACATTGTTTCACTATTATTTGTCAAAATAAAAACCTTGCAAAGACGTAACAAAATGTGAATAATCCAGAATAATCTGTGAAACATCGTCTGAGAGCAACCACCAAATTAAAATGTTGTTAAAGTCAAAAGTTCTTATAGTTAAAAGTGTTTTCTTTGTTCTTCTTGCAGATTTGAGCCATGAACTCTGACAAAGTGTGAATATCTGTTGTTGTATGTGTGACCAGGTTAGGATGTCTTTATATTTGTTTTTATAAAATATGTCATTAAAGCTGTGTAATAGTTTATATACTCATCTATGTTCCTTATACCGCATGTCTTTTGAGTCTCTTGTATATAACATATATATATGTTATTATGCACATACATTGTGTGGTCTGCACATGTTTCAAAACATGTCCCTTGTACTGTATCTTTTCATTGTTTGGTATTTAACATCCAGTTAAACTAAATTAGGTGTTTAATGCACCCTAAACAATAAACAAATACAGTTGTTATTATTTGTGTGTAAACAGATTTCCTGTCTGTGTGCCTTCAGATTGTGAGGACGAGATGTTGATGACGCTCAACTCAACTTCCGGCCCTCTGGACCTGCTGATGAGTAATACCAGCTCTGCACTGACAGGGGGCGCTGTGGCAGTGCCTAAAGACAGCTTCTCTAATGCTCTCACCAAGAACATAGTGGCCATGCTGGTGTGGCTGGCCCTCAGTGTCATCAACGGCAGCATGGTGCACACCTTCCTGCAGCACAGGTAGACAGTGACTCTGGGTTATACTTTTATTTCAGGACACATTGTGCAGCTGTTCCTCAACACCAAAGTTATTATTGTTAAATTAACTTAAAACTTAAAATGTGTGACCTGATGATGATTAGAATATTTTTTTTAGAGGCAGCCCTACCTTAGACACACACACAAACTCTCAAATCTGAATATTTTCTGCTCTCTTTAGTCCTCAATTACAGTAAACTGAATGTCTTTGGATTGTGGACATTTGAGGATGTCTTCTGAGAGACACTGATAACCATTTTGCGACCTTTTCTGACATTTTATGGATCAAACAACTAAAAGATAAATCAAAAAAATAATCAACTGATTAAATGATCAAGAAAATAATCTTTAGTGTCAGCCCTGCTTTATGCATACTCATAGTGTCCATCTCTCTCAGCTCCGGTTTATCTTTGACTCTAGACGCTTCTATGAGAACCCCCGGTACATCATGTTCATCTGCATGGTGATCAACGACGCTCTGCAGCTCAGCCTCGTAACAGCTCTCTACGTGGTCAGCTACATCTTCAGGAAGATCCACGCCTCTGTCTGCTGCTTTCTGGTGAGTCTCTCACACATCAGCTTTATGCCCACTGGGTTCTGTTAAATCCCTTCCATGTGTCAGGAGACGTATATCAATAAGTGATGACAGTGAGTTTAAACAACACAAGCTATTAAATTTCAGAGACTAAAACACAGGGTTGCACAATAAGTATAAGGCAACATTTGGGACATTATAATGAAGGACTGCAGTGCTGCCCTGACCTACAAAACTTCTTCTCCAGATGTCACATAATCATGATTTTTCTAGTTTTTTCAATCAAAATGAAAATTGTGATGCACAAATTATAAATCCCACTTATAGTAAATCATAGCACCATCGTAAATTTCTGTCAAAATAATTGCAATGATTGATTTTTTTTTACTATATTGTAGAGCTCTACTAAAATGTTCAAATTAGGGAAGGACATCAAGGCAAGAAAGAGTCACATATGTTTTAAACACAACATCCTATCGTGGACACTCATGTATGAATTCCCTCTACACAGCATCTGTTTGGGGAGAGGCTCCTTTAGGGCTCCAGGTTAGACTCTACAACAACTAAAGAAACTAAGTCTCAATAATAACTAACGTGTTCATGCTTTTTAAAAGTGGCCTGTTGAAGCCCTGCTGCAGGGTGTGAAGGATCCAATATTTTATTACAAAATTCTAAAACTTGTTGGAACAGAAATATACAGCTCTCACAAACAGAGTCAGTGAGCTTCATCATTCCTACTCCTCTTCTCTTAACCTTAACATCCACACCTCCACTGTGTCCCTCAGATCATGACAGCGGTCCTCACCACCCGCTCTACGCCTCTCATCCTGGCCGGCATGGCCGTGGAGCGCTACATCTCCATCTGCTTCCCCTTGCACTACAGCCAGATGTGCACCGTCCCTCGCACCCTCCTCCTCATCGGTGTCATCCTCATCCTCACCGCCACACCGCCCGTCTCCGACCTCCTCATCACCATCGTCAACGAGCCTCTGAGTTTTTTCCACACCACCATTTTTTGCGACCACCCACTTCTCTTTCGCCACCGGTCCATCTACTACAAGAACTGTGTGTTTGACGGGGTCTACCTGTCCTTCGTGGCTCTGACGCTGCTCTACACTTACTGCAAGATCATGCTGACAGCACAAGCTGTCTCTACGGGCCTGGCCTCCGTGAAGAGAGCGAGGAACACTGTGCTGCTTCATGGGGTGCAGGTTGGTATCCCTGCACAGATTAACTCCAACTTAAACCACTATAAACATTAATGACTCCTCTCTGAGCTTGTTAGCAGGATTTTACACTTCCATACAATAAATAAACAATACTCAATATCTCTTTCTGTTTCCAGCAGTGTAGACAGAGGTTGATGTCATGGGTTTGCAATGTGTAACTTTCAGAGGGACTTTCTGTTATTGATAAAAGGAATTGATAAGCTTGGGGGAATACGATTCTGATGGATTGGACTATTTGGAATCTCTATAGCAAGCAGCACAGAGTAAGAGAGAAGAATCATCTCTCAGCAATCTCTAGAACTGTTTGACAATGTTAAATGATTTAACATGTAAACAACTTAAATATTCTTTAATAAAGGTTATTTGTTTAAGAAAGCAGCCTTCTGAGTACCTCTCTATAGTATATGCATATGATTAAGGATGGACTGATAGCCCATAGTCCGTACTTTGATACCCTCGTGCTTCCTGCTGTAAAAGCCTGAATGTCCTAAAGAATACAATAGAATTACACATTAATCTTTGTTTTGATATCTGCATTATATATCGTCCATTGGGCGCCCTGCTCACATGAGCATCAGCCATTGAGAACCCATATTGGTCGACCACTTATCAGGATGTTTCTGTCCTTTTGTTCCAGCTGCTGCTGTGCATGCTAGCCTTTGTGGTTCCCTCCCTTCAGGCTGCTCTCATCTCCCTCTTCCCCCGCTTCAGTCTGGAGATTCGTTACATCTTCTTCCTGGTCGTCTACATCATCCCCCGTTTCATGAGCCCTGTGATCTACGGTTTCCGGGACGAGCAGTTCAGGAAGTACTGGACCCAGTACCTGGCTTGTAAGAGCCAAAGAACTGCCAGGGTCAGACCGGTTATACTGAAAGTGAACCTGGAGGTGAAATAACCAAAATCAGAAATCAGTTCCTCAAACCGCCACTTGAGACTGGCTCCAAAAGTGTGTCAATCTCCATAAGGCCCCATATTTAACTTTACAGCAGACGTAAACACACTTACAGCCTGGCAGAAAATATGCCCTGGGTTTCTATATGTGGGGTGAACCTTTATATAATCATCATTTAAATTATATTAAGTTTAATTATAATAAAGTTATAGTAATTAAGAGCATGGCTGTATTGGGTGACAGGTGGGTTCTGTTTTCAGTAACCAGCCTTCATTCAGCCTCAGCTCCACATAAACACCACGTCTTTTCCCACTTTTGGATTAGTCGGGTGCTGGTCGAGTCCAGACCGCCAAGATGGCGAAGGCCAGAGTCGACCTCACTGAGCTTCACAGCGACTCTGACCATTTTTAATTATACAGTCTATGTGAATGTACAATTTATTATTCTCATTAAAGATATAAACATCTTTTTAAACATGTATCATAATTCATACACTATTGTATATGCATGCTGTGCATATTGTATATACCGTCATACACCAACCTCACGTATATAAAAAAACCTACTATAAATGATTGATTGCAGCATCCTTTGCACTATACTGTCATACTGTCTACAAATTATATGTTTGTTGTTTACCTGGCTAATAAAAGTGACTCTGATTCTGATATACGGGCCAGTTTATACTCGACACAAGACACACATTCGATGTGGAGCAGCACAAAGCAAACATGAGTATTCACCTTGTTTGGTTCCAGTCGGACGTTTTATAATCCATACACACAGAAGCTTTAATGAGTTTGTATAATGGAGAGAGTGCAGTAGTTGGTAAAATATACACAGTATATGAGGAATTTTTTTTTTGTGTGAGCGGTAGTTGTGTTTAAACAACAGAGGTCAGAACAGGATCAGTGGTTCTTTTAGAGAGACCTGGTTTAAAGTTTGTATCAAACAGATACATGACATACTCTTCACAACAGTGCCGTAGAGTAGATTACCACATTAAATGCAAAGTATAGATCACTCATCTACTAAGTCTACTCTTGACCCAGGGGTCTACTCTTGACCCAGGGGTTTTAGCCAACTATAGACCGATTTCTAACCTCCCGTTCCTCTCTAAGATTCTGGAGAAAGTAGTCGCCAAAGAGTTGTGTGACTTTCTACATAACAATAGTTTATTTGAGGATTTTCAGTCAGGATTTAGAGTTCATCATAGCACAGAGACAGCTCTGGTTAAAGTTAATAATGACCTTCTGACTGCTTCTGACAATGGACTTGTCTCTGTACTTGTATTATTAGATCTTAGTGCTGCATTTGACACCATTGACCATGATATTCTTTTACAGAGACTTGAGCATCAAATTGGCATTAAAGGAACTGCCCTAACCTGGTTTAAGTCATACTTATCAGATCGTTCTCAGTTTGTACATGTTAACGATGAATCCTCCATAAATACTAAAGTTAGTCATGGAGTTCCACAAGGTTCTGTACTTGGACCAATACTATTTACTTTATATATGCTCCCTTTAGGCAACATTATTAGGAATCACTCCATTAACTTTCACTGTTATGCAGATGATACGCAGTTATATCTATCAATCAAACCCAATGAAATTAATCAATTATCTAAATTACAAACATGTCTTAAGGACATAAAATCCTGGATGACCTGCAATTTTCTGATGTTAAACTCAGAAAAAAACGAAATTCTTGTTCTTGGCCCCAAAAACCTTAGAGACTCATTGTCTAAAGATATAGTCACTCTAGATGGCATTAACTTGGCCTCTAGCACCACTGTCAGGAATCTTGGAGTTATCTTTGATCAGGATTTGTCATTTAACTCCCACATAAAGCAGACCTCTAGGACTGCCTTCTTTCATTTACGTAATATTAGAAAAATTAGACACATCCTATCACAGACAGATGCAGAAAAACTAATCCATGCATTTGTTACTTCAAGGCTGGATTACTGCAACTCTTTATTATCAGGTTGCCCCAATAAGTCCATTAAAACGCTCCAATTAATTCAGAACGCTGCAGCACGAGTACTGACAGGAACTAGAAAAAGAGATCACATCTCTCCTGTACTAGCTACTCTGCATTGGCTCCCTATAAAATGTAGAATTGAATTTAAAATACTCCTCCTCACCTATAAAGCTCTTCATGGTCAGGCCCCTTCATATCTTAAAGAGCTCATAGTACCCTATTACCCCACTAGAACACTACGTTCTCTGAATGCTGGGCTACTTGTGGTTCCTATAGTCTCTAAAAGTAGAACAGGAGCCAGAGCCTTCAGTTACCAAGCTCCTCTCCTGTGGAACCAGCTTCCAGTTGTGGTTCGGGAGGCAGACACCCTCACCACATTCAAGAGTAGGCTTAAGACATTCCTCTTTGATAAAGCTTATAGTTAGGGCTGGATCAGGTGAGTCCTGAACCATCCCTTAGTTATGCTGCTATAGGCCTAGACTATCGGGGGATTTCCCATGGTGCACTGAGCTACTCTCTTCCTCTCTCTTTCTGCACTCATTCATGTCCCTTTAATGCATGTTACTAACTCCACTTCTTCCCCGGAGTTCTTGTGCTTTCTCGTCTCGCAGGTTCTCATGGATCCTGGTGGAGCCTCCTGCCATGGTCCTGCTTGACTGCCATTGCCAATACTGTTGTTGCTGTGCACCTGTCTGTCTGTCTGTCGCTCTCTCTCTCTCTCTCTCTCTCTCTCTCTCTCTCTCTCTCTCTCTCTCTCTCTCTCTCTCTCACCCCAACTGGTCGAGACAGACGACCACCCACCTAGAGCCGGAGGATCTGTCCTAGGTTTCTGCCTTTTAACAGGCAGTTTTTCCTTGCCCTTGTCGCCAAGTGCTTGCTCATGGTGGTACTGTTGGGTCTCTGTAATTAATGTTAAAGAGTTCGGTCTAGACCTGCTCTATTTGAAAAGTGTCCTGAGATAACTTCTGTTATGAATTGGCGCTATACAAATAAAATTGAATTGAATTGAATTGAATTGAATTCATGGACAACTGAAAATCTCTCTTTCATAGATATATTTAAATATCAAACTGTATTGTATTCTAACGATTTTTTATTATCAGTGAACCCATCAATTATGTTTTTGATTAATCAATTGTTTTGTCTATAAAATGTAAAAATGCCCATCACAGTGCAGAGTGAAAGTGACAACCTCAATTGTCTTGTTCTCTTCAACTGGCCAAAAACAGCAAATCTTCACATTCGAGAAATATTTTTGCACAAAGTTATTTTTTCTGTCCACAAACTGATCGGCTTGTTGTTTTATCTGTACAGCATTCCACACCTACATACTATTACTGATCAAACAGCTGACTTTACAAGCAAAAGTTCAAGTTAAGTTCAAAAGATCAAGGATCAGAGTTTCTGAACGAGCTACAAACGGTGGTCGGTGGTTGAACTACATCCTGTCAGTCTTAGTTAAAGTCGGTCTCTGTCCGTGGTGCTGAAAGTGTCTGAGTGGAGACGCCACACAACGACACTGCTCAACTGTCAGTGGCAGGTAAACTGAGGATTTACCAGACAAAGATATTTTTTGTCCTAAAACTACATTTAACAAATGTCCTAAAGTTTTGACCCTTTCTGAAGCTCTTGACCTTCATATTTTCTCAGGGCTCCTTTACTTCTGCAACTTTTCTCTTCATCTTCGTGTTTTCTTTTTGGTTAACGCTGGGAATGTGTCACTACATCTCTAATAATATGTAACGAGGATGTTTCTTTTTGCAAAAACATGGACAGAAATTGTGTAGAAAGAGAAAAATAGTAGTAAGTTGCTTTTATTCACTTACATCAGGAGGTGTAGTGGATAGTGAGAGTCACACATATAAAACACAATGATGATTTAAACCTGCCCTACGCTGTGATTACAGATTATTTACTGGCTACCTGGCTAGTTACCACAATTTATCCACCAAATCCATAATTTACCAGCATTTGGTGTTAATTTTAGACCCTGTCTGACTAGAATTTAAAAAAATCTCAAACAAGCCACATTAAGCTGTAAAATCAGTTAAATAATTTTTTAGGCAACTTTCATAGTCATTGGATTTGTTTGGTGTTTGTGCGACTTGTTGAGCTTTTTTTTCCCAGAGGAAAATTATTATTTATTATCTCTTGGTGGAGTTATAGTGTACACTGTTAACTGGTTCATAGCGCTCCTTTTAATAAATCCTTTTTTTGGGTCACTTCTCTGTGTTTTGAAAATAATCTCACTGAATCTGATGATTTTTGATGATTTTTTTTTACCTATGAGTACAAACCCCATCAATGTTATGATGATGAACAAGGAGCGTAGATGCCCGGATCAGAAGTTTATTTTACAACCATTAAATCAAAATGTACTCACAATAATACTGAAATGAGAATCCACCTTCCTCAGTGTCTCCAGCGAGCTCCTCACCCCTCTAAAATAATCTCATCTCACTACATCATCATCACTGACATCTTTATAATAGCATCTCTTCCTGTTGCTCTTACTACTACTGACAGTCAGCTCGGTATCTCAACATAGGCTCGACCAGTGTGGTGTTGATGTAAGTATAATTTATTTCATTTAACTTTAATTCCATTTAAAACTTTATGTTAAAAAGTTGGATCGCATTAAAGTACCAGAATAATCATTGTGTATCCTAGTTAACATCTAACCCTATTTATTAAATAGAAAGAGGTTATACTGTTAGATTTATTTTTTGTTGCCTTTTCAAGTAATATTTTTTCTGTATGAAGAGACACAAGCATTAATATAGCTTGGAAACATACAACAGTTTATTTTAATCTAGTTAAGATTCAGAGCAATATTTAATTATTTCTCTGTTTGTTTGGGCTTTGATTGTGTCAGTTATAACCAAATGTCTGATGAAAGAAACTATTTTAATTCTCTTCATTCTGTAAAATTCAGATTTGAACATTTTATTTTTGTTCTTGATGTATCAGAGACAACTGGGGGTTATTTTAATGTATCTTACTAACCAGATTGGGTTGTTTCTTTTAAATGAATCACAACTTTGGGGGATGTTCTTTAAAATAATCTTAGTTCTCAGATTAAAGTCAAATGAGAAATACAGCCTTTGTAAAACATTTTATGTGAATAATTTACATATTTTAGGTTATCTTTAAATCCTTATTCTGTTTTTTGATAATGGGAGTAAACGATAACTGAGACACTTGTGACTTTTGACCTACAGATTGTGTCTCTGACCGACTGAACCCAGCTCTGGTCTCTCAGCATCGAGCAGGACGAGGTCTGATATGAACTCAAGCGGACGTTTGGACAGTCTGAGTGACGCTTTCACAAAGAACTTCATCACCTTTGCTGTCGGACTCATCATCAACTGCATCAATGGAGCTTTTGTCTACACCTACTGTAAGAGCCAGGTCTTCCAGCGAGACCCCAGGTGATGCATCACACTGCTTTAAGTCCGGTCCTGTAAACTTGATATATTGTGCAACACACCGTGAGTGTGACTGATTTAGTGATTGTAACTTAGTTTCAAGTACAAACTCAGTATGATTAAATCTCTCTTTCCTATAAACCCTGCTCTCCTCCTGTCTCCTTCCTCTGACCCCTGTACTCTTCTCTCCTGCAGATATGTGCTCTACATCCATTTAGTGATCAACGACATGATTCTGCTGACAGTTTCTGTGATGCTGCAGATCCTGACCTACAGCATCCCCCTGACCTTTGCTCCCTGCTGCATCCTGCTGCTCATCCTAGTCACTACAAACAAGTAGGTGTGGTTTTTATTCTGCATATGTGCTTTACAACGGTTGTCTTGGCTCTATCATTTCCACTGCATACCGTACTACTAACATAACGTACCACTGACATAACGTACCACTGACCTGAAGGCATTTCCACAACACTCAGAGAATCTTCTACCCACCTGGATGATGAAAATATTGTGTTAGCAGAATAAGGCTGCACAATTAATCACAATATTCTGTATAAATAAATAGTCTAATATTTTAATCCATAAATCACAGCCCTGTTTCCTACCACAAAGACAGAAATAACACATCTGCTTAAAAATGTATAAAAACCTTAATATAAAAGTTTTATTTGTTATCAGTTTTGTCTATATACATGTTACTTTCTGTAATTTTATATTTTCACACTAAATAATGGCTTAATATTTTAAATGTTAAACATTGCTGGGTAATTATTTAGCTCTGTGACTGAAATATAAAGGTACATGAGGCACAAACTGGGTTTAAACCACAGAAAATGAGTTTAACAAGATGTAAGTACATTTGATCTGAAGGATAACTGTCATATAAATCAACTGCTCTCAGTCTAAATATTTATTTCTGTGTAGAAAAAGTGTGCAAATTAATAGCTGCTGTTGAATTTCCATGTTTCACCACAGCTTAAATTAGCAGCATTAAATCATCATTAATGCACAAAAATGTGCTCAGCTACAGTAACGTAACATTAATGCAAATAAACAGCTGGGGAGCTGTATGACAGGATAAAGTATTAACAAATAAAACAGTAGCAGACTCATATTTCTCATTCTGATTATCAACCTCAGAAACAGACTGAAAAGTACATGAAGTATGTTAGCTGGCATTAATGGAAGCAGTAAATAATTACAGCTGCTTGGTAAAGTGAAGCGTTAATCCTCAGGATCTTAGTATGGAGAGTAAATCCTTTGGGAACACTGTTCATCACCTTCAATTATCTACAGCTGCTCAGGAAAACTGGGCTGAACAGACATCACTAACAGGCCAGTAATTTATTAGTAATTAGTTACACTGCTAGTTACTGGGTAAAGTAGTATTACTACAGTAATATTATTATTAGTAATGAGTTACTACCAACACTGACCGCAATATGCTTTACTATATCACTTTTATTGTTTAACCATCTTCAAAATGTGGTTGCCTTTCCAACATAGATTAACTAGCACACAGTAGGAAGTACAGGATGAGACTTTTGGCAGCTCAGCTTGTTCATGAATGAAGAAGGTGCGTTAGATTTAAAGGTGGGGTCAGCGATTCTGGAGAAATAACACTATACTATACTATACTATATTTAGGCTATGTTGCTTTTATCTTTGAATCAAACAACATTTTTACCAATTAGTAAACAGGTACATATATGTCTGATTTGTACAACAAATCTGGATTTAAAAGAACTGAATAAATGAAACTCTGTGTGTTTATGTGTCTTCATCCAGGAACAGCCCTCTGAACCTGGCTGGCATGGCGGTGGAGCGTTACATTGCTGTCTGTCGTCCTCTTCATCACTCCCAGATCTGCACCGTGCAGCGAGCCTACGCTCTCATTGCACTGATCTGGGTCGTCTCCTTCTTCCCCGCCCTCACAGACGTCTTCATCACCCTCGCCACGCAGCCCTTCGCTGTCTTCTCAAGTAACGTCATCTGTTACCCGTCCTACGTGTACAACACACCGTACCACGAGGCCCACAGTCAGGTTGTCCAGGTGAGACACTGACTGTTTGTGCTTTCCTGTTTTAATGACTCATGGCAGATTACAGCAAGCTTTTGTGTCTTCCCGTCTTCCCCTCAGGTGCTTCTGCTGTCCTTCGTCTTCCTGACTGTGATCATCACCTACCTGAAGGTCCTCTGCGCTGCCCGGGCAGCTTCTGGTTCCAACCAGGCCTCGGCCAGAAACGCCCGCAACACCATCCTGCTGCACGGAGTCCAGCTCCTCATCTGCATGCTGGCGTTCATCGCCCCCTTCATCACCATCATTCTGGTCACCATGTGGCCCCGTGGCAGAACCACAATCATCTTCACCAGCTTCCTGTTTAACAATGTGCTTCCACGTCTGCTCAGTCCGCTCATCTACGGCGTCAGAGACAAGAAGTTCAGCAGCCACATCAGGATGCACTTCTGCTGTAAATGCTTGAACTCTGTAGAAGAGAAGGTGAAGCTGGTTGGACCCCAGAGAAGGTCCAGACTGATGTTACACTGAAGGACCTTAAAAGACTCAACACAGACTATACAGACTATATCTGGGATTTAGCCTGTTTTAGTCCATTAGTTGATTCTGGTGTGAACTGAAAGGAAAGTTTTTCAGCAGTTATGTAAAATAAAAAACCTGATCTGATGCACAAATGTTACTTTAAAGAGGTAAAAGATACATCTGGGTCTCAAAGAATTTATAAAAGTTACAAGCCATAATAGTAACATTTTTAATGAACTGCATTAATATAGTTATTTAAAATGTTATTTTATTTATAAAAAGGAGATAAAAATGAATATTAAAGGACCAGTGTGTAGGATTTAGTGGCATCTCGCACTATAGTTGCAGATTGCAACCAACTGAATACTCTTCGCCTTCCAGGTGTGTAACAGGTGTGGCAGCTAAACTCATAAAAGGCCCAGTCTAGAGTCACGTTTAGTTTGTCCGTTCTGGGCTACTGTAGAAACATGGCGGACTCCGTAGAGAGGACCCGCTCACTCTGTAGATAAAAACGTCTCATTCTAGTTTAGCAAAAACACAAAGATTCTTTATAATCTAATAAAAATATACCTATGAATGTTATAAATGTCTTTCCTGCCAATAGATCCTCCTGAATGTTGAACACTGGACCTTTAAGATTTTCACAATAAAAGCTAATGGATAATATCCTGAAGGTGATGCAGTTACTCAGGTATGTTCGACTCTCCACTGCTGACACAAGTTCGTTAAGATTTAACTGATTACAGAACAGTTGTTACTTCACTACACTTTGGTTCTGTCTGGTTCTGTTTTGGTTCTGTTTTGGGGTTATTTTGGGAATATAAATGCGGGGTCTTAAAAAGTATAAAACCCAATAATCTGAAGTTTAGGTTTAGTCTTAAGGTTTCAAAATATCTTAAATCTTAAATGTGGATTATTGATCATGCTGTAACAACTACAAAACAAAACAGACGGGGAACCGATGGATTTTCTGCGTTATCCTTTATACTTTTTCTCTCTTTCTTGCCAGTATGGATGCAAAACAAGTCTTAAACTGCCTTCATAAAGATCTTAAAAAGTTATTTAAGAGTCTGTTGAAACCTGCAGAGACTCTGCAGCCACAGTTTCAGTTTGATACCATAATATAATAACCTTAATGCCACTAAAGAGAACACAACATTAAGAAACATTCACAACAGTCATTTTACTGTCAACATCTGTCCATTAAACATCCAAACCTCAAGTACAAAACATTTGTGGCTCTACTGTGTGAAGTGAATTGTTTAAGGAAGAAGTAAAGGAGGTGGAAATGCAGACAGTGTGTTAAGATGCAAAACCAGATTGTGGCCACTAGATGGATCCATAATCACAGACATGCAGCTTCTCCAGATGAAATATTAATAAATAAATATATTTCTGAATATTTGGGAGTTAAGAGAATTATTAATATCCTGATCAGAGGGCTGCTGGTCAGGAATGTTGTCAGTAAACTCTTTACTGGGGGGGGTTCTGGAATAAATCAAAGTAAAAAAGTTCTACTGAATGTATTTGATTCAATCAAAAGGACCTTTAACAATTTGTTTTTCTGTATAAAGTGTTCATGCACTGTTGGCTGGAGGGTTTATGCTCCGTTGACTTTATCTTAATGAGAAAGAAAGCTGCACAAGTTGGAGGGAAACTTGCTTGCAGTGCAGTAAGAAGTGTCTCTGTGGACATTAGAGGGATATTACAGCAATTAAAGAATAAAAAAAAACACGAGTTCATTAAGTGACACCCGAGATTTCACAGTTTCATTAAGACCCACACAAACACTCACTGTTAAAGTCCCAGCTGTGAGATAGCAGGAATATTACAGGAAATATAACTCCCCTAATAACCACAGAGCCACTTAAAACTTATTATTGACTACAGCAGACTGAGTCTCTGTGGAGACATAAAAACAAATAATTTAAAATATAATCAAACTTGCTCTAAGTTAACCACTGAGTGCCACAAACACATCACACACACATCTCACACACACACACACACACACACACACACACACACACACACACACACACACACACACACACACACACGCACCTCTGTGCAGGTTCAGTACATTAAAGGTGTTTCTCTTCGGAGATCCGATCTTGTTCCGGAATGTGACGGAAACAGCCGAAGACTGTCCCTGAGAGAAGACAGTGAAACCGAGGCTCAGATGGAGGAAACCTGCGCTCCCACAGCGGACTCTGTCTCCTCCTCCTCCCCGCGGTGCATCGCCGCAGACGGACGCTGCTCCTCAAAGTTTCCCGCAGAAGAAGTTCGCTGTTTGTTCTCGTTAGTGCGACAGTTCGGTCCCTGAACGTTTAAAACTTATCCACACATCATGGGGTGAGTCTGACATGTGAGGAGGAGGATGCTGATCCGGTGAGGAAGGAGTGACCCAACTCACAGGTAAGTGTAACCCACACATATATGACTGAAAGGGTCAGACCCAACCTGATTCTAAAGACTTTATTTATTCATTTATGACGTCTTCAGCTTGGTGTTTTAAAGTTTTTGTGCTGTTGCAGTTCTCTGTATGAATGTGTCTCAGTTTGTTAGTGGAGGAGATGTTTTTCCACCGCTGTGATATGAAGCCGCTTCCTTGTGCTGAATTATAGATCAACTTTATTTCTGTATGTGCAGCATGGCAGCTCCCCTGAGAGCTCAGCATGGGCCCTACATGTAATTATAGCCAGAGAGAGAGAGAGAGAGAGAGAGAGAGAGTCACATTGTCCCACTGCTAGTTTCTATCTTCTCCTTTTGTTTGGTGCTTGAAAAAAAAGGGAAATAATTATTGAAAAAGAATAACACCCACCTAGTTTTACCAATATAGATCATATTGTGGGACTAAACTAACTGCTCCAGAGATTTCAGATGGTATTGTCAAGATTTTCAGAATGTAGGCTTCATTCAGTGAAGACTGTGGATTATATATTTAGGATAAAAATAGCCTGTAAACAGTCTGAATATGTCTTTAAATGAACAATAACACACAACAAGTTTGTTAAAAGTTTGGAGTTTTCATCTTAAATAAATGGTTCATTCTTTACCTTTGGGAAACAGTGTATAGGAATTATATATGAACAAAATAATCTAATTATCTAAGGTTCAATATTAATGAATACAGTGATAGAAAGCTACTAAGTACACCTTTCAGTGTTTATTTTGTTACTTTAACCTGTTTCTTTTTTCAATTTAGTTTTTTTAGACGACCTTTAAGTATATTAATGCTCAACAAACATTATGAATACATTATATTTCAGTAAATATTTGATAAAAATTAATGTGTTGACATCAGCTTGTGATCTTCTTCTTCTCCTCATTAATTGGAGCATTAAAGCTTTTATGGTGCATTACCGCCACCAGATAACAACGTGTTTTATGGAGGCTCCAATGTATGTTTGTTACAACACTGCAGTCTTTCATTCTTAATCTCAGTAGAGGTAGAAAAGCATCAGCAGTATGTACACACGTACATAAAGTAAAGTAAAAGGACTCATTATAGGCAGACGTCTGATCTCTGTCAGAGGATTATATTATTTATTACTCTGTGTAGCAGGTTGAGGTGGAGCTGATTGCTCATAACATTGCTCATATTTTAGTTAATTATTGGTTTTATACATAAAAGGTGACTAGTAACATGTCTACCCTATAAACGTAGTGAAGTTTATATATTTCCCTCTGAAATGTGGTGGAGTATAAGTTTAAAATATATGGAAATACTCAAGTAAAGTACCTCAAAACTGCACTTTAATACAGTATTTGATGGTTTCTATTCTCCACCATGTTTCCCACATACACACCCGCCTCCATGAAGACAGATTTGGGCTCTTCGCAGTTAACTGTCTGCACGTGTCCATAAATCACTGAGCTGAAGAGAGAAAACCCGGATTAAATACCAGCAGGAAGAGAGTGAAAGATTCAGAGACAGATGAACTCAGACTGCTCTGGTTAAAACACCATTAAGTCCACATTAGGTTAACACCTGTCTGTGATTCCTCGGGCCATTTCCTACACTCTGCAATTAGACCCTATGTAACATTATTACATTACATTATAGCTCTACACTTTACCTGCAGCGAGGCACTTACAGCGGCCTCCAAATGGACGGATACCCTCGGTCCTGTGTGTGTGTGTGTGTGTGTGTGTGTGTGTGTGTGTGTGTGTGTGTGTGTGTGGAACAGCTGCTGACGTTTGGATATTTACACCAGGAGGCATCACTCTGATCAGAAATAAAACCCAGAAACTAGAGTTATGATCCAGATATCATCCTCATTCCCTGAAACTTTACTTGTTGCTAAGCAATATTAAAGCAAAATTTGCCAACTGGGCTGGATCATGTTTCCTGGCAGTGACATTAACATCGTACTGTAAATAGTATTTTAGGCAACGGGGGGAAACGTTTGAGGCCTTTGAGGCAGGAGAGCGACTGTAAGCTCCACATCATACTTTCAGTGTATAATGATGTCTCCACAGCTGATGTGAACTTTGTTGTTTATTCATCTGTGGAGAGATTTCATAGTGTAGTTTTATTGTGACAGCGTGTACACTATGTGGGTGTTTGTATGGAGAGTACAGTAGATGAGCATGCGTGGGAGCTACTTTCTGTTTTGGCTGCATCTGTGTGTGTGTGTGTGTGTGTGTGTGTGTGTGTGTGTTTTTAACTTGATCACATGGAGACTTGCAACCACGGTTAATGTTAACAGGATTTGGTGATTTGTGTGTTTTTTTGAGCAAAACAGCAGTTATAATTTGTCTTGGGGCTTGTTACACACAAAAAAATGTCGGCTAGTTGCTAAAATCCAGTAAAAGCCTTTTGGCTCTCGACCAACGCCCGCTGTGTTTTGGAGTTAACATTAAAATGTCTGGAACATCAAATTAGTGTCTGGCCGTCTCGTTCTAGAAGTGCATTTAGCAGAGTAGATGAAATTAGAGTGCCTACATCACAAAAAAAAGACAGGAAAAAGTAAACTTAGGCTCCTCAGAAAGTCTTCATGGGGGGGGGGAATTGCTGACTCAGCTTGAGATGAAGAAAACAGCGGAAGAGAGGGCGACGTCTGAGCTGAGTCACATCCAGACAAACTACATTGAGAAAACTTTGTTCCAAACAAAGCAATGTCAAATACTCCAAATCTCTTTCTGACCTCCCTGTCTGTGGATCTCAGCTCCGAGCACACTGGCTCCTACTGATGATGGAAATCTTTAAAAACTCCATCACAAATTATATAGTTTAACTTTTTACAAAACCTCAGTCATTTCATAAAACAGCTGCTCGCTGTAGTTAGTCAGACAGTGATGAAATAGTGCATTCGTTTGGGACTATTTTCAGCGGCGGATGAATCCACATTTGGTGCTCTAGTGAGTTTCTGGGGCAGCAGGACCAGGGTGGGAACCACAGTTTGGGGAGGGTCTCTGTCGGGTCTCTGAAATATATTGACAATATGCTCTTTTGGCCAAGCATTTTTATCTTTCTCTATCTTCATCGTGGCTCATGTGTATGTTTATTATTGATGATCAGGGTGATCTAATTCACTAAAGATACACATGCATGATTTTCTTGCAGTCACTATTGAGGCGTACTGCCACAGTAAAATAAACTTCACTCATTGTAACTCAAAGATAAGAGAAAAGCTTTCTTAGTCCCACTCTGTCTGTGTGTCGAGTCGCTGTTACTCATTTCTGTTTTGTAGTCAGCATCCTGAGAGTCAATCAGTGGAGTAGTCACACATTGAGCAGGACGCTGTATGTGGGATTGAGTTAACAATAAGTACAGTGTGTGTGTTCATGGTAATGAAGGAACATGTCAGTGGAACAATGTGGCTCATTGATGTGTTTTTAGGCTCACAGGAAGAAGATATATGAGCAATAGGAGCAATGATAGACAATAAGAATATACCCAGCGTTGATTTCTAGTTAAAAACTAGGTGATATTCGTTTGAACGTCTCTCTTTCCAACCAGATAACATGTGGTTAAAACATCAATGTGTCACAAAACACAGATTTATTTCCACATTTAGATTTTTTGTTCAGTTGTAGGTTGACAGAGAGACGATATTGATTGGTGTAAGGTATTTATCTTTACGTCATAGTGAGATGTGACTTTCAACACATTTAATGTTTCATGTAAAATGTCATAAATATTTAATTGTATAGGCTGTGTGCTGCCAACAAGAAGCTTCTGGGACTTCGTAGTTCTGCACATTAATGTAAAATAAGAAACTGTGCTTACTGATGTAACATAAGTCTTATAAATATAGTATAAAAAGTCTCCTCTGGCAGGAAGATGTGGTTGATTAGTCGGTTAAGCATATGACTTCCTCTAGGACGCTGTGATTTAAGTCATGTGTGAGGCAATTTTCTATATTTATGCTGGCTTCACCTGAGACATTTGGACGATGTTTTAGGCTCCAAAGTGATGATATTTATATTAAAGTGAGGCTATTATTTGCCCACTGTAGACAATGACTGTTTTTTTTATCAGAATATTCAAATAAATGTGTGATATGGCCCAAACATTGAATGAGCTCACACCTCACATTGTGGATACCGTATACAGTATCAGGCAGCCCTCATGTAACTGAATCTGCATGAGAAACATTAAACCTCCTCAGATGATACGTCAATAAATTCTCTTAATACATTTTAATATGAAATTCCCTCTTTGTGGTTCCCTGGGCAGTGTTTCCTGGCTGAGAGGCAGTGGAGAGACTGTAGGAAGAAGTGGGAATTTCCTTCTGGAACAACTGTAACTGTGGAGGATGTTAAGCTTAAAGATGCCCTCCTCTATTAGGACATATTTATATATTTGTCTGCTTGGACTGTCTCTACTGTGTCTCTATTAGGTAACCATGGTGAAGGAGAGTCTGCCCAGCTGGGTCCACCAGGACTCTGACGAGGGTCTCGTCCATGTGAACGTCGGAGGTCTGAAGAGAAGCCTCTGTTCCAGCACGCTGAAGAAATTCCCGGACACCAGACTGGGAAAACTGCTGGCGTGTGATTCAGAGGAAGATATTCTGCAGGTGGGTCAGCTGACTGACGGTGGGCGGAGTCATCCTCCCTTCTATAATGTTTCATTTCCACCTTTCCTCTTCCTGCTTCCTGTAGGTGTGTGATGACTACGACGTGCAACAGAAGGAGTTTTATTTTGATAGGAACCCCGGCCTGTTCCCTTACGTCCTCCACTTCTATCAGACCGGCAAACTTCACATCATGGAGGAGCTGTGTGTCTTCTCCTTCAGGTGTGTCCATCTCTTTCTCTCTCTGAGGTTTAATGTTCCTCCCTCACAGACAATCCTTTAATTACATTCATTAAAGTCACAATCTGTCACTGTAGCATGAGTTTCTGTCTGAGTGAAAGTGAGTAAATAAGGCTTTCATTCAAGCACTGTGATCCGTAAATGTTCAGTTAATAAGTCAATTATACACATTTGAATCTCTCAAATATCATCATGATTAAACATGAAACAGTTAGAAATCCAAAAAGCAAGAAGGACATACATAAACCCAGAAACATATTAATTAAAACGGATTAATTTATTAAAAAACAGGACAAATTCCTTTGATTTTGTCCATTTTCTCTCCAAGAATTTTGAGAGGATCTTTGATGCTGGAGCTTGGTGGTGTTATCATACTGTCAATTTCACTTTAGATTTCATAATTGAAGGCCCAATTAGCCAGAAACTGCTTTGAACTTGACTTCCGTTTCCCTCACAGTCAGGAGATTGAGTACTGGGGCATCAATGAGTTCTTCCTGGACAGTTGCTGTAGTTACCGTTACCACGACCGCAAGCTGGAGAGCAGCCGGCATCGCAGCTGGGACGACGAGAGCGACGTCAGCAGCATAGACACGTCAGTGGACGAGATATCCGAGTTAACCAGGTAAAACAGCGTGGAGGCCTCTGAGGGACAGTACAGGGTTATCAGTCTTCGTGCTCTTTAACGGATCCTCTTCCTCCACTCTCACAGAGACATGCAGCATTTCCAGGAGGTGCGTTATGGGAACATCAGGAAGTGTCTGTGGCTGACGCTGGAGAACCCGGGATACTCGATTCCCAGCAAGCTCTTCAGTCTGGTCTCCATCGGGGTGGTGCTCACATCCATCGCCACCATGTGTATTAACAGCATCCCAGAGTATCAGGTTGGTGTGAAGAGATCATGAAAGGTGCATACAGTGGAATATATATACAGAATATTGGCTGTTGGGTTTCAGACCGTGTTTGAGGCAAAGATAATGCATGAGGTGGACAGGGTACATGTTTGTGTTTACAATACAACGGGTGTTGTTCTGGTAGTTATTATAGCCCATTGATTTTGGCTCATGGAGCTCACTGAGGAATTCAAGGTACTTAACCCACAGGAGCCCAACTGCTGCCATTTGCATCAAAAAAACATCTCTGAATCACAACTCAGGTAAATCTGAATACACAGACATGATACACGTATAATACTTACTATAAAAAATACATTCCTTATGACTCTAGAACTTGAGAGAATTATTACGTTTCCTTCAGTATCAAAGTGATGCAGTGAAACTCATCTATATAACAATGGATGCATTGTAAACAGGAACTGATAATAGCTGATTCAGCATACTTTTAATGGTGCCAGTTTGTAAAAATGAGTTGGGAGGATGGAGGGAGACAGTGTAAACTCTGGTTTAGATGATGTGACTGATTATCTCTCAAAACTCCACAAACTCATAAGGAATAATTTACTGTATGTGGGTGAGGAGGTAGAGCGGGTCGTCCACTAATCAGAAGGTTGGCGGTTCAATCCCCGGCTCCTCCTGCTGCATGTGGAAGTGTCCTTGAGCAAGATACTGAACCCCACACTGTGTGTGATTGCGCTTAGTTTCTGTTTCTGATGAGCAGTCTGCACCTTGCCATCAGTGTGTGAACGCTCTGAGTCCATTTACACAGAAACATCATAATAAGAACACCTGAACATCTGCCATTTTTATCCAGTTTGAAGCTCGGAGGTAGAATCCAATAACAGCCCAGTCACAGTTCTCGTTAATGTCTCAGTGACGGAGAATATAATCAGAGAAACACTTGAGACTCGGCTTTTGTGAGGCTACAAACATTATAGCAGCAGATGAGGGAATTAAAGAAAGAGCACAATAACAAGCGATAAAAACAAACTCTCAGTTGTTAAATGGCAGCGCAGCATGTTGAGCCAGTTTGACTCTAAACCCAGTTCAAACATAAAGTTTGTGCTAAATTCTTGATGGATCGCCAAATTATTGATTTTAGAAAAAAAAAACAAGTAGAAAATGCAGTGAAATGTTGACAGTGTGTCTGCTCTGTCTGATTACAGTTCTGTCATAATGCCAGCTGTGAGAAGAGTTTAAATATTAAGCAGACTCGTGTTGATGAAAAGGCAAAATAAGGTTTATGTATCGTTGAACACATCAGTAGATCATCGCTAATCTTTCTCCTCTTTCTCTCAGACTTTTGACAGTGAAGGGAATTTGATGGAGGACGCGACCATGCAGGCTCTGGAGGTGTTCTGCACCTGCTGGTTCACCTTCGAGGTGAGGAGAGAAGAACAAAGCGTGGTGTGTAGTGAGGGGCGGCATTACTCAGGAGTTAGAACGGCCAGCTAGTAATTGGAAGGTTCCTGGTTCGATGCCAGGCTTCTGCAGAGACACTGAAACCCCCATCTGCTCCTGATGAGCACCTTGGCACCTTGCATGGCAACCTCTGCCCTCAGTGTATGAATGTGTGTGTGAATAGGTGAATGTGTTGTTTGAGTGGTGGGTAGACTAGAAAAGCTCCCAGTAAATGTCAATTTCTGTCTCTGAGGTGGTGACGCGGCTGCTGCTCGCACCGAACAGGAAGAAGTTCTTTCATCACCCTCTGAACATTATCGACATGGTGTCTGTGGCTCCCATCTACATCACCCTGCTCTTTGACTTGACTGTGGGATCAGAGTCTGAACTGGGAGACCTGGGACGGCTTATACAGGTTACATTTTTATTTGTTATTCCGTTCTCTAAGATGTAGGAGGATCTATTGGCAGAAATGGAAATCTCTCTCTCTCTCTCTCTCTCTCTCTCTCTGTCTGTGTCTCTTTCTCTCTCAGGTGTTCAGGTTAATGAGGATCTTCAGAGTTTTGAAGTTGGCCCGACACTCGACTGGACTGCGGTCGCTGGGAGCGACACTTCGGGTGAGTCGGGACTCTCTCTCTCTGCTCCCACATGTACAGTATGTATCATGAATTATGTAACATTTGACTTCCTGACTCGGGGCAGACGCACAGTGACATTAACCGACCGTAGAAACCGATGCCATTGATTTTTTATTTCTTTGTGACATTTTGCTCTGTTGACCTTTCTGCAGACGCAGCAGATAAAGGTTGATGGATTGTGAGCAGATGTAGGTCTGAGGATCGGAGCTGATATCTCACACACAGTGAAGAGCTTGCAGAGGGTTTTAAAAAAAAGACGATTAACTCTAACCTTAACAGTTTAACATTGAGCTGCAGGTTAATAAAAGATAAAAACTGGAGACAACAATACAACAAAACTAAAACGAAAATAAAATAAAAATGAAATAAAAAGCAAGGCATTCCAGCACACACACATGCAGCAGAAGTAGAGAGTGTGAACCAGACTAAATATTACCGGCTACCTGCAGGATTTTCTTTTTCATTGACCCTTAATAGCCATTTCATTTTGGAAGAGGCATTTGTTAATTATCAAAGAGGCATTTTGACATTGTGAAGGCACATTTTCTTTCTCAATATTATAGATATTTTTTGTTTCATACGGTTGGGAACTGGTTCTCAGTATGGAATCAGTACGGCAACAACATGAGACCAGAAGCAGGATTTGAAGTGCGTCACACATGTGCACACGTCTCCACTCGTAAAACATTGCTCTGTACCACAACGAGAGGTCAAAACTCAGTTTTAAACTCATTCCAGCTTTTGCTCATTGATTTCTCTCCTTTGTCCGATTTTTGATGCCAAATCAGTTGATCACACATTTTATGGTCATATCTGTCATTCCTCTGATACAATCCCATGTGGAGTGTCTCTATTACACCAACAAGGACGTCGTATCTGATACAGAATCAGTTACTACAATCTACGGCTGTGCAGCTCCTGGTGGGTTTCATTACATCTGCCTCACTCCACATGAGACGTAAAGCATCTGAGAGTGTGTAGGTCATGTTACAGTCTCATCTATCATAACATGCTGGCTGAGGAGAGCATTATCTGAGGATAAAACAACATTATGCAGGAGTTGTAAAGTGAATAGATAAATCATTGTCTTAAATAATTTGCTTTACTTTTTCAAATGTCGCTGGTTTACTAGATTTGGATGCATTATATTTACATTTAGATTGCAGCAGCACTTTGGTAAATGCTCCTGATTCGTGAGCAGCATCACGAGTGAAACGCTGAGAGCTTTTTGGTGTCTTTCCTGCATATCAACTAATGTAAAAGCCTAAACACAAAACATTAGTTTAAATCTGAGATAGTATTTCTGGACACAGTGACTGGGTCTGAATCACCGCTGGTGCCATAAAGTTTTCTCATTCACTCGTGAATTTATTTTAATGCTGGTTGTTTCCATTCATCAAATAGTGGAATTTCTATATACTGGGACCGATGATACATTAATACAGGTAAAGCATTACAGTACAGTACTTTTAAAATTAGTATGTATACGGTGCCGACCGGTTTGAAAGATGCAGGGATAAGGGAGGACACGACACCGGGTTGGATGCAAAAGAATATCATATCAATCGATATCAAGAGAATGGAGCCACTTAGATAGACCACAGCTTAAAACAGGTGCCCTCCATCAGTGATCAGTGAGCTGCACCGTGAACACAAAGACACACAGAGCAAATCAATAAGACACAGAATGACCCATAACAGTGTTTATATATATATATATATATATATATATATATATATATATATTTAAATTTCATTTAAAATGATGCATACTAACAATTGTACAGTTATCATGAATTAGAGTGGCGGGCTGAATGGGTTTTGGTTGAGGCATTGAGATAAAATAGATCAGTCTGTACTCCGACTGTGAATCCTGAAGCTTTTACGTGTCTTATGAAAGGGAACTACAGATTGTTGGTGACATTAAACATCAGCACACTGAAAACAGAGACTCATCCACTCACTAGTCCGCCTCTACAGCCTCGATGTGTTTTTACTCGGACTACATTTTAATTATAAGATTTAATTACAAGTTGGAAGTGTAGTGGTGGTTATGTTTAAGTGGTAAAATCCGATCGGCACCAGGGCCGTGGTAACATAAATACATCATCTCTGCAGCACTTTATTCAGAACTTACATTTCCTACTGGACAATTAGTTTTTCCCTTTTTCTAAAGACAAAAAACAAACAGAAATCTGAAATATTTAGTACTAAATATGGTGGCATTGCTGCACTAATGGAATCAGCATTTTATTTTTAGTAGAGACTGAGACTATTCTTCTTCTCTGGTGTCTTTAGAGAGTCCCTGGAGAGAGGCTGGATTACAGAACAATTTATTTAAAATCTCAATGTACTGATCTTCTCTCTTCTCTTCTTCTCAAAGAGGACCAGTAAATCAAAAAAAGACAGGAAGCAACATAAAATGCCGTCTCATTAGATCCTTAAATAAATCCCAAGGATTTTACAGGTGTATGTTGAATTACAGCTATAAACGGGGTTAAAAGAGTAATAAGAGTGCCAGTCATCTACGCAGACCTGGACGTTTGATTAACGAGCTTTCTTCCATCTTGTATCTGCAGCACAGTTACCGCGAGGTCGGCATCCTGCTGCTGTACCTGGCTGTCGGAGTGTCTGTCTTCTCTGGTATCGCTTACACGGCTGAATATGAGGAGGTAAAGTCTGATGATTGGTGCTGAGACTCTGTACATTTATACTACACTGGGTTTAATGTAAACATTTTATTTTAATATGTTTTCATTCCAGCCAGTGAGGTGCTGGTTTCTGTGACACTTAATTGCCCTTCTTACAGTTAACCTAGAGACCTGGTGCAAGAAGTAGTTAGACAGTTGATTATATATTAGCTGTGTTTGGATTAGGATCCGGAAAAAATGCCATACATTTTTGTATATAGTAAATATATATGAAAACATTCCACACTTTTAAAGGCTTTTCATACTACATATTCTTCCCCCAGGGTTAAGGATTGTCCTGTGCCATATTAATTACAGTCAAACATTTATAGTCACTGCAGACAGATCTAAAGCACCTCTGTCTGTCTCTGTCTCAAGGACGTGGGTTTTGACACCATCCCGGCCTGCTGGTGGTGGGGGACGGTGAGCATGACCACGGTGGGCTACGGGGACGTGGTGCCTGTCACGGTGGCTGGGAAGCTGGCGGCGAGCGGCTGCATTCTGGGTGGCACCCTGGTGGTGGCGCTGCCCATCACCATCATCTTCAACAAGTTCTCCCACTTCTACCGGCGACAGAAAGCTCTGGAGGCGTCGGTCAGGAACAACAACCGCAGGAAGATGAGACTGAGCTGCGAGAAGGAGCCACAGGAGGAGGAGGAGGACGAGGACGAGGGATCGGACGGGGACAGCAGGTGTCTAGACGATGACGATATTGATGACATCGAGGAGGACGATATAGATTACGAGGATGAAGGAGGTGTAATCAATTATAGCTACGTGGAACATCCGTCGTACACGTCAATACTGAGGAGGAAGGAGCTGCATCAGCTGTGAGGAGGAAGTCAACCTCGAGACTCAGACCTGATCACATCTTTTCAGTTCTCATTGGAACTACGCTGACACTGACTGACACTAACATCAAAAACAACTTGAACCAACAGTGAACACAATAACTGAAGAAAGCAGCAGTTTGTGTTCTAAACATTAAAGTTAGAGGAGCATATTGTGATTGACAGACGTCTCACACACAGTTGGGAGGTGGGCTATACATTTGGCTCTTCCAGGACAGATTGTACTGTAGTTTGGTCTCATTCATTTGTGCATGTGGGGGTGTATGGAGGTTTGTTCATACTGATACTGGGTCTGTTTCTGTGTTAAAAACATGAATGTGAAGAATCACAGAAGGTCAAAGTGAACTAGCATGCACGCATATGAAGTTAGCTAAATAAAGAAATATCGTGAAAAACTGTGAAGCACTTTTGTAGAAGACCTAGAAAGAGGAGACATTTAAAGAGCAATGATTCTAAAAATGTGTACAAAGGAGAGACATTGCTGCAAGACTCATCATCAGGTGTGGTATGATTTCTATGAACAGATATCTGTAGATGAATGCAGAATTTGCAAGGGACCAGGATTTTGCTGTCGGAGGCGTTCTGGTTTGTGATCAGTCACGTTTGAGTGGGCAGTGGTTGCATGTCAGACTGCAGAGGAAGTCATGGCCCGGATATCTGCTGGCTATGCTGCAAGCCCTGAAAGATTGGTTGTTGTCCTCAGAGGCTGAATCATCGATAGCCGTTGGGTTCCGAGATTGGATGTGGTCTTGATTTTTATGAAGGAACAGACAACCGTGTAAGCAGCTCTGTGAGGCCGTAGTTATTCACAGCGGTGCTTTCAGATAAATGCTAATGTGCTTGCAGTGTCAATGCTAACATGTTGATGTGTTAGCAGTTGTTAATGTTCACTATCTGAGTTTAGTGTGTTAGGGTGCAAGCACTGAGGTCAAAGCACAGCGGAGGCTGAATGTAATTAGTTTTGAAATAAAGGACATTATTGTAATAAAAAGTTAAATTAAAAGGTCTGACCTGATGATGCTGCTAGATGAAAGGTAGGATGTGATATTTTGGTAAAAAGAGGTGGACTGACAGAAGACCACTGCCGACCATAGAGCCTAAAAACTAAACCAGGAACATTAAAACTGAATCTAATGTTGCTCCTACAGCATCAGGTTTTATTTAAATAAAGACTTTGAGAAAGAGCAAAGACATTTAAGTCCCAACAAGGATCTTTTATCTTTTTCTTTTCCACCAACTTGTTTCATGGATTTAAATGGGAATCTGACCAAAAACAGTGGCCGTCATTAAAGAATGATATTAAAGGATATTGCCAATATTGTTGCTGATGTCAGGATTAAATTAAAACAGTTTTTATAACCAGTTAAAAACTCTTGATAGTACATCTAGTATTTTATGTTCTGATATTTCTTTGAAGAGTGAAACCAACAGTGAACTAACAGCAGACATATTGGACGGGTTGAGCAGCTTCGGTTACAGGACGACTTTGGGAAACGTCCTCTGTGTTTACTGGATGATGGATCACACCTGTCAAACTGTCATTTAACATCATCCATGGTTCCCCAGACTGTGGACACTGTGGATGATGAGCTGCCCAGCTGACTGCTGTTCTGAGCATCAACCAACACAACACGTCGTCACAACTCACTTCTCATGTCTTTCATTTAGTTTCTTTCACTTTGTTTGTTTTACACTCTTTCACTGAACTTTATCTTTCTCCTTTCTCTGTCTCTGGTCAGGTTCCAGTGTGCTTTTAAACTACATGTTATAAACAAAACAAAAGATGATAGTTATACTTACTTACATTTTTATTTGTTACTGGTTACTTTGCAGTTTCAAATTAATAATTCATAAATAACTCATAATATACACATTTTCATATATATAAAGCTTGTGTTGCCATTTTATTTATGATTTTATAACATATAGAAACATAAATAAACCATATTTGTCAGGGCTGGAAAAAGTATTTACATCTTGCTACTCTATGTCCACATTCATCACACCGGTCACTTCAGGACTTTGACCTGGTCACACTGAAAGCTGATATGGGTCACATTTAAAGATCATCAGATCTCAGCAATAAATCAGAATTGAGTGTCCTAAGTTTTAAAGTGGAAATGTCTCTCTGATTGAGCTGCTAACAACACATAGACACCTGAAACAGGACCAGGAGCCTCAACTGGAGGCTGTTTTCAAAGAGTCACGCCAACAAAACACTGTTTTATTTAAAATCATAACCTGTAAAGCAACTAGTGAGTGACTAGTCAATATAAATGTATATTTATTATCAAATAAAGTGGAAGTAATTCGAAAATTAAAAGTAGAGTATCGACTGATCACAGTGGCTGTAATTCTGCTCTGAGAGTCAAATCAATGCCACAAACAGTTAATTAAATACACACAGTGACTTTGATGTGAAGCCAACATAGACCAGTGTCTGACCTGCAGATCCAGTTCAACCAGAAGACCTCAGTGGCTAACTACTACTGGGTGAAAGTCAAATGTGTCTTTAAACCTTTGTTCTGACAGACGATCAGGAGAGAAACTGTGTGTGCGTCTCAACAAGATGAATAACATTAAGATGTTTGTGCAGCTCATCTTGTGTTTCACATAATGGACCCTCATGCAGGAGGAGTCTTCCGGCAGGTTTCCTTCCTCTCTGAGAGCATTAAAGAACAGATGATGTTAACACAGTTTGAAGCTCCGTCAGGTCGAGTCAGCGCTCAACGCTGCTCTCTGTCAGAAAAGGGAAAAAGTGAAAATAATCTGGGTACGTTTTTATTACGATCTCTGCCAGAACAGACACAGTTCAATGTCTCTTTACCACAAAGAGAAAAACTACAAAGACACTACAGATGCACGCTGACAGCCAAAGGAATAAACAGATGTTTATGTGCTGGGGAAGAGGAGAGGGAACCTGGAGGAGAGGGAACTGGAGGAGAGGGAACCTAGAGGAGAGGGAACTGGAGGAGAGGGAACCTGGAGGAGAGGGAACCTGGAGGAGAGGGGAACTGGAGGAGAGGGAACCTGGAGGAGAGGGAACTGGAGGGGGTCAAATTCTGATTGGGGCCCCAAAAAAATGTTCTGGATGAACACTTCAGGGGCCTTTGCTCCACACTGAGGACAGGAAGTTTTCAATGCCAGGCGATCAATGATATCTGAACAGAGTCACCACATTGATCCATAAACATGATGATTATGGCAACTTATTGTGAAAATAGTCTCTTATACTTTATTTATACAAAAATTCTTTATGTTAAAATAAGCATATCAGGTCCCCCATGAGTTGTTTCCCCAATATTGTTGAGTCTTAAACTACAAACACTCACTTTTCTTTTCTGCGACACACACACACACACACACACACACACACACACACACACACACACACACACACACACACACACACACACACACACACACACACACACACTTCGCCCTCTTTATTTTGGGTTGAGAGAAACAACACACCCCAGATCAGATTTGTGGCGAGCTGATTAAAAATTAATTTCCGCTGTTTTGGCAGACAGAACTCTCGACGTGGTGAAAAATAAGAAAAAGTTTGAGTGTTTTTGTGTGTTTTTGTGTGTGTGTGTGTGTGTGTGTGTGTGTGTGTGTGTGTGTGTGTGTGACGGATCTGATGAGACGAGAGAGAAACTCTCAGTCGCTCTGTCCTCCAGTCTCATGAATGTACAGAAAGAAATGTGAAACAAACATAAACTTTACAAACTGAATGTTCTCTGTGTCACTGCTGGTCGTTAATATAATCATTTATATTAATATTAATATCAGCACACTTTAATTACTTTAATTGTAAGTTAAACTGATTTTGTGAATCAGACACTTGATTTAAGGTGATTCATTTTGTTTGATGCAGCAATGAAATTCTGTATTTAAAGAGATTTAAACTGTTTATGAAACAGTCTCAGTTTAATGTCTCTGAGCAGATTCTAGTTATTATTATTATTATTATTATTATTAGTCATTTTTAATGGCTACCACTGGGTCTGATTCCCCTGAAATCAATGAAACTAAGCAGTGGAAACACTACCACTTTTGTCCACAGGGGTCGCCATAATTAACACAAAAGCAAAGTTCCTCGTTTCTTAAAATAATAAAATAATAAATAATAAATAATAAATGACTTCGTATGAAACATTTCTACTGTGAGTGAACTTTCCTCAGTTTTTATTCATTGACAAGCAAACAAAAACAAATAAAATACACAAACCACATATCATCATCATCATCATCATCATCATCATCATCATCTCAAACATATGCTTCCACTGCATACTTTAAGGCATTATATATATATATACTTCAGAAACTGAGTGAACAACAAATCAGGCGTCATACAGGAAGAGTGCAAAACATGAGAAGAGCTCAGAAAAGTTAACAGCAGATCCAAACGTGTGTGTGTGTGTGTGTGTGTGTGTGTGTGTGTGTGTGTGTGTGTGTGTGTGTGTGTGTGTGTGTGTGTGTGTGTGTAGACGAGGCAGAGAAACAGGAAGTGGTCGCGGTTTTCACCTGAATGATGAACTGAAGCAGTGAGCTCAAACTTAAAGTTATTCCAGTTATTTATCTCCACTTTTCTTTGTTCTGTTCATTTTTATTTGTTCTCCGTTTCCAGGGTCACAGTTTTATATCGAAGCCAATGAAATAATCGTCAGCCTGTTTGTATTCCTACTCCAATGCGGAGCTATTCGACCACATGTGGTATAAAAAAATAACCAAAACACCTGCAGGTACGACTAGAAACAAGAACTAAAAGAGATTTGAGCTACTGATGAAAATGAATAAATTAAACACTTGAGCAGCCTCAGCAGTGGTAACAGTTGAGAAAAGATGAATCTTTCAGTAGGATTTACACCGATTCACTCGATAAATAAATTACAGCCCTATGAAGAGGTTGTGCTACTGAAACGTCCTCTTTATGAAGAACTCTTTCCTTTGTCTGCTCTACCAACAACTTTATAACCTGAAATTAAAGCAGATTTAAATGTCATCCAGATATGTCTCATGTTTGCACCGACACGTTCTCATCCCAGGTTGTCACATACGGATGCTGTAGCCTTTAGAGTCTGTATGAGGAAACTACTACCAGGTAGCCCGCCCTAAAGTACCCTGCTTTATGGTCTGTTTTACTCTCAATGGGACCATCAGTTACTAAATGAACATCATGCTGTATGGAAGAAGACTTGAAACTAGAGACTGAGAGCAGAAACTGTTTACTGAGCTCATAAATCAACTGAGAAGTCGACTCATTTCTCCATAAGACTCAATACTATTAGACTTATTTGTTGCAGCCCATAGAGCTGCCCCCTGCTGGCCATAAGAAAGAATGCATGTTGGCTTCACTTTACACTTTAAGCTCTGTCCACTAATAGATACTGTGGGTTAGGAAAACAGGAAAACATGCTAAAATAAATGTCACATGATGCAAGAACTCACATAAAGACAGTGAAGGGTTCCTGGTGCGTCTGTATGGAGACACAGAGGGCTGTAACATCGGTATTTGACACCTTGGGAATGAGAACAGGTCGGTTTTCACTGGCCTATGTTTATTTATTTTATTTATTTAGCACTAATCTGTAATTGTCGGTGCAGCCTTTAACTGTCCCGACCGTCCCTTCGTGCTGCTCAATGACCGCTAGCAGCATAAACAAACCTACAAATATCTGCAGAGGTTTGTTTTGGCCTCATTAATCACCAGTTTATACAGAACAATGTTGTTTTAAACCTTTAAACAATCATTCAAAGCATTTTAAAGGCAGAAAAAAAACAAACAGTGTTTAAAACCGATTCCAAAAACATCCGAACAGTTTCATTTCTGTCCAAAACCGTCTCCAGTGATTACGACTACATTTCTGATGCGTCACTTTTCCAACAGCAGAGTAACTTTCTCTGCGAGCACCGAGCGGCTCAGCATCACAATAATAACATTATTAATCATTTCATCTCATCGACAGCAGAACCAGGTTTTACATTAGATCACTGCTCAAACACAAAACATCCAAAACTGACAAAATAATAAAATAAGGCAGAAAGTTAAAAAAAAAAAAAATCCCTTTTTTTGCTTTTTGTAACAGAAGTGAAGAAATGAGTTGTTTGCTCACAAACGTTGAGAGTCCCGCACACAAAGACGCCACAGAACAAGTGTGGAGGAAGTTAATACATTATTCTGTTATCAGGTCTGGACTTTAACTACAGGAAGTCCGGCTGACGGGTTCCTCCCCCCCAAAAAAAAACATCCGACACAGCCTCTGTGATAACTGCCCAAATAAGTTAATGAGAAGTGTCTCAAAGGAATCACAATATACAAATACAGCCCGGTGGTGCTCATATATATACAGACTCTGTGTGTGTGAGGGATCATTATTTTACACCCCTGAGGAGTTTTATGACCTGAGACGCTGGTTTTCATTCTGACGATCAAAACTAAACTGATGTGTAACCACTAAACCTACGTAGAAAAATAGAAATCCTCACTTTGTGCTGGATGGATGAAAACGAGCCGAGTTGCTCCGAGGAATGTTAGAAGTTAAGAGACCTGAGTCGACGCCAGCTTTAGTCTGCGGCCTCTTGGCACTTTATGTGTGTGTGTGTGTGTGTCTGATCACAACTAATAAATCCAGGAGATTAAATGTTAGTTGAATCTGTTCCATCAATGTGTCGACTCAGGTCTTTGTGAGTATCTTAGTCAGGAAGAGAAATAGATGCTGGACTTAAACCTAAATGAAACACTAAGAAGGTCACTGGAGGTTAAACAAAGGCAACTCAAAATGTTCTCAATAAATTCCCTTAAAACCTTTTTCTGTAACAACATTTATATTCCAGTTTGACGTATTAGACATTCAAACGTAAGGTTGTAGGTTAGTCCCGTCATTCCTCGTCTTTTAAATGAAGCAACCTGCGAACCATCTTCAGTGGTTGCATATTTCCATAATTAATAAACTGAAGTAAACAAACAATTAACTATTGTTAGACCTGAAGAGGTAAAATTAGCCAGTAATTTAAAAATAAAGTAAACTTTTAACCTCCATTATTTAGCATTAATAAGAATATAAACATTTAATAAACACTATAATGCGTTTATTATTATATTTCAACTGTAACTCTAGTAGTAATTGTTGACAAATACTGTTAATTAATAAAGACTTTAAGTGTCTTTATATCTGTTTACAACTACATTACCGTGTTACAAACTATTTAAATGTTTATATACTGAAAACGGAGAGTTAAAGTAAATGTGACTAAAATATAGTTTTGTGATCATCTGCTGATATTTATTTTGTGACCTGCTACTAAATCAACATTAGTGACGACTCAATGAATCTGAATATTTGTCTCTTAATGGTCCTGTTCAATAATGGGAACTTATACTGGGAGCTTGGTTAAAGTCAGACATCTAACCTCCAGTCAGCGCCATGCAGAGGAAGATGAGGATGGCAAAATCATATGAACAAAGTATTAATCTTCAACAATTATCATCACCTTGACATGTTCTTTATCTGAGGATTTACATTAGCTGAGCATCTTTCTTTAAAACTAGACCAAACTCTGCACTGAAAAAGCTCAATTGTGCCTTACTAACGTATTTCTGCTGTTTTGCTCCACGCTGAAGAGGAACTGTGAGGAACTTTTTAAGGGTTGTTGCAACAAACGAGAAGAAAACGGGTCTAATAACTGTTTAGTTGCAGACTCAGAGCAGCATGTAGAAAATAAAAACCCTAGGAACACATACCGGATTAAAGACATTTAGTTTTCAGAAACAAGTTTAAAGGATAAATCTGTGTTTAGAGTGAGGAACACTGTGGATGTTTAACACCCCTCACATTATAAATGATGAAGATGTCCTGTTATCTCCTCTCAGTTCATCCAATTCAATACAGCTGATAGGAAATACATCGTCCTTCAAGCTTTGATCTGTGTTTAGCCTCAGACTGACCAACATCCTACGACTAGAAGAGGCAGTTATGGGCTGGAACAAATAATAATGTGCATTTTCTACCTTTCGTGTGTTTTTCCAGAGCAGGGAATGATCCAGTTCTGGACTGGTACCCCGACTTTCACAGTCCAGAGCGGGACAACTGAAAAGTCCAGCATTAATGACAGAAAGGAGTTAATAGACGAGTACCTACGTAGAACAGTCAGCAGTTAAAATGTTGTACCACACGATTAAGTAAAAAAAAAAAAAAACTAAACTTAAAGAGAACTGAGGGGCTTCGTCACTGTGGGTTGAGAAATACACAGAAAGAAACGTCCAGATCAGCTGCTGATACCAAAGCAAACTCAACTCTTAACTGACCCTTTATAAGCCCCGCCCCTTTCTTCTCTGTGCTCCAATAACAGTCGAGTAAACCTCGGTCAGAACCTGGGTCTAAAAGTGACATATAATCACATCTTAAATCAGTTAGCTGGTGTTTTGCTATCTTTAGCTAAGTTAAAATGTGACTATAGACACGTCTATTATCTTTAACTTTCTTCCACATGTGGTTTTCATAAACGAGCCTAGCGTATAGTCCGAGTACAGGAAGAGAGTAGGTTGACTGAGGCCTGCTCAACCAATCCTGGAGTACAGAGCAAAAAGGGGCGGGACTTAAGAAGAAACTGTCATTTCTTAATCTGTTAAAACCAGAAAAACAGTTCGTGAAGGCTCCAGATTATCTCAAGAAGGCAGAATAAAAGAAACACGGATCTTAAATCAAACAAACATAATAAATGTCAACGATACTCCGTCAATCAAAGAACAGCTCTTTGTTCATCTTCAGCAGTTTGACATCCAAAGCGAGGGTCATCAGAAGTCCTTGCACAGTTATTGGTCTCGTGAGCAGATCTTCGGCCGCTGTGAGCTTCACGTATTATCATTATTATTACTGACGTTTCACAGAGCCGCTGCAGAGAGCTCGAGAGATCCCACGTCCAGTTGTTGCTGTGAGGAGCCCGGCAGTTCCTTCTCAGAAGTTCTGCTGCCGTCGCTTTTTGGCCTCGATGGCGTCCAGGATGGGCTGCCTCTTGGCCTGGTAGCGCTGACGGATCTCCTCGATCTCCTGCTCCATCTGAGGATCCAGAGAGGCCAGACGCAGACGCAGCTCCTCCACCGACCACGTACTCACCTACACACAGACATTGTGTTTATTAATATCAAACACACAGACGCAGCACAGGATGGCTACGATTATACTGTTAATCAATTACCTGATCAACAGAATATTAATAGGAAACATTCCTTATTTCCAGCTTCTCAAATGTGAGGATTTTGAGCTTTTCTTCGTCCTATGTGACAGTAAACTGAAAATTTGGTGCTTTTACAGGTAATCAGACAAAACGAAACTTTAAGAGACGTCAACTTGGGTTTTGGAAAATAAAAACAGGTGATTTTTTGGGGACTATTTTCAGACATTTATAGAGTGAACTGACTTTGAAAATTTAATTTATAAAATAAAAGTTGAATTGGTTCACGTCTGAAATGCTACGTGAGATCCCTCTGGTCCATAATCTTTCATTATCAGAGGTTTCACAAACAATACAGTCAACCAACTTAAAATCCTTTTGTAAACGCACACTGAACACGCGGAGGTTCTCCTGAACTACTTCTTCTGCTGCTGTTTCAAAGGTCAAGAAGTGATCAGACAAAGATTTTATGACAACTAGGTAAATGCTCTCTGAGGATGAATACTGTGTGATATGTTTGGAAGCTTCAGCAAAGCTTCAATATTTAAATATTTAAAATAAATAAATTGTGAATCAAAATTAATTTCAATATAATTTTTCATCAAGACGTCAAGAGGGAGCCACTGGAGAGTGTCCGAAGAGCAGCAGGCACCGTACCTCTGGGACTAAATCGATTAGTTGATCAATTGCTGCAGTTTTAATGTCATTATCTTGTTTAATAACTCAAACTTGGAGCTTAAACAAACTCACTGTTGTCCAGGTGAACAGTGAGTTGAATCTGTACTCTGCAATCACTTTATGTTATTCTGCTCTCTGGGTTAATAACATTTATAAATTCTCTGCCTCACAGATCTCGTAATGGTCACTACTGTTGAGTCTAAATCACCAATAAATGAGAGGCTTGTACCTCAGAACTGGATCTGAAGGCAGTTAAGCTTCCGTACTGAAGACTTCTCCTCGCTGTTACAATCCTGTGCAGCTGGAGGATCTGATGACTTTGAGCCTAAAGATCCATCTGTCCTGAGTCCATTAATGAACACTTAGGAAAACCTTGACTACACTCTAAACATATCTCAGGGATGACAGCGATCATCAAGGTGTCTGATAAGTGAATCTATTTTAGTAGCTTTCAGAGGCTTCATCTATTGACATTTATTTAATCTCTTTCCCTCTCTGTTGTAGGCTTCCGATCGGGACCCGATGCCTGCTTTAGCTCTTCCCCCGGGGGATTCCCCCTCTCGGCTTTTACCAGCAGCACTCCGCTCTCCAGCTATTTATTACCCACAATCAATGGAGCTAAAAAAAAACCCCACTGGCGTCCTAGTCCCCTAGACGGATAACCGTGAAGAGAGAAGGGAAGGTCCTACAACTGGACCACACCAGGTATAACAGACACTGAATATTCAAACTTACTGAAACCAACAAATGGAGCAAGAAAAAATGACTTCAATGATTCTATGATGATCGATTATCAAAATATTTGCCTAATAGTTTCATTAATTCATTCTCTCGCAGTGTCTTTAGGTTTTGGACTGACATTTATATTATATTTTTATATTATGATTATTAATAATAATAATAATAGAGGAAATAAATAATAATAAATAAATAAGCTTCCTCTCTAATGAAGATATTTGTTAGTTGCAGTCCTAAACATGGTTCTCCTTGGTGCCGCTGTTCAACGTCACATTATCGTATAATCAGCTGAACACATTTTCACTGAAAACCAGTTTGACTTTATGGACAGTTGATGTTTCCAGGTTTTAAGAAGGTTTTCTCTCTGAATGGATCATATTGGGGAAGTAAATTGAATCTAAAAAAAACAATATAATAAGTTTAATTTACGCCACTATAGCACTTTCTTTCCAGCAGACTGCAGTAGCTGTAAGGTTTTGTTCACCAAGCAAACAAACACATAAAATCATTAAACATTTACAGCCATATTCTCACACACACACACACACACACACACACACACACACACACACACACACACACACACACACACACACACACACACACACACACACACACACACACACACACACACACACACACAGCTTTAAAATATCTCTGGAAACCAACTAAAATAAATAACTTAGTGACTGGAACTGAAAGGCAGAAGTAAGAACTGGGCTTTGGGAAGTTTTCCTTCACAGATATTTTTACGTTATTTAGTGGACAGAAAGAAAGAAAATGGAGGTGATGATATAAAACACTAAAGACGACTGGAAGAGGATATGGGAAACGGAACGTGGCCGCTACGAACCCACAGACAAACATCACCTGACAGGTTGTCTCTATCCATCCATCCTCTACCATTTCAGATAATGCTAAAGCTCTAAACCCCACACTTTCTGCTCAGCATCAAACAACAGACAGACACTGTTAGACACTAGTTAATGAACATAGTGGAGCATTTAGCAGCTAATTTTTCTCAGGAATAAGTGGGGACCAAAAACAGAGATAGAAATTGGATTTATATTCACCAAATGGACACAAACACAAGTTGAAATGTACGATAATGTTGCCCTCTGTCTGCTGGATGTTAAATTACTAATACGTTTTGCCATAATGAAATAAAATGTGATAATATGTCACTGTTGTGTTCACAGCTCCTTTCTGCAAGCAGCTGAGTCCTAACCCCAGAAGCCCAGGTTCGATTCCAACCCACGGCCCTTTGCCCTTTCAAAATAAAGGCAATGATAAGCCCAAAAACAAAACAAAAAGGTGTTTTAAAAGGTTGGAATTTCCTGTGTTTTTCAATCTCATTCCGGGTTAGCAACACTTAGAATACGATGTCAGTACGAGCTCTGATCTCTCCACTCTCACTCAAAATGTCAACAAACCTTCCTTCATATTAATGTTAAAACATTTGTCTCATGCATGATTCATTACACACATCAGATCACACATGGTCGCCTGTTTATTTAACCAAAACTTAAACCTGCGTGGTCTCTGGTACAGTGGGTTCACACAGCGATATGAAGACTACTCTACTGGGTGTTATGGATGGACTCTCAAACACACAGTTTACATTTCTCCTGAAGGCAGTTAACTATTAAAGCTTGACAGGACATGTAACTGATGACAGACTGATGACGGGCATCATGATGCCCTGGATTTACCCTACTGTCAGGATCAGTTAGATAAGACTACGATCTCATTGAGGTTTGTTCTGAGGACTGAGGGGAGAGGAAGGGGAAGGGAGGATAGAGGAACAAGAAAACCAATAAGGGAAGAATAAAAATAGAGAAAGGGGGAGAGGACAGAATGCAGCAATTGAGGGAGATTGGTTTTTCTACGTCTGCTCCTCATTAATAATGTAGGTTAGTGCTTTCTAACCACATGTCCTATGCTGCATTGTCGCACCACTGAAGCATAAACCACAGATAAAAATGGAAAATATTAGACAAGGCAGCTAAATATCAGCTTAAAATACTATATAACACACTAACATGTCTTAATATGAGGGTGTTCAAACTTAATAAGGGATGTGTACTCCACTCCAACCCAGAGATACAATAAGAGAGAAAATTAAACTCAATGTATAAACCACAAACTGACTGAAGAGTTTTCCAGCAGTCAACATGATGATGTTCTGAATAACTACATTACAATAACATCTCAAAATACAAAAATAGCATAGTAGACCGGTCTAAAATTAAACACCGTCAGCGTGAAGCTGTCAACAAGCTGCCTCAAAGTATTAAAGATCCCAGAAGAAATTAGCTTTTTATCCTCACATTTGCAATTCTAGTGGAACAATAAATCTCCCCTAGTGGGATCTGTGTCGTCCAGCGAAGCTTATTTGATTTAAATGAACTGCCTGCGTCTCTAAACGATGCAGTGAAGCACACAGATATTTTGTGTTTTACTTCGACGGTTAAATGCTATAAGACTCTGCTGCCTTTGCATAAATGTTACGTTATTGTGTAAATGTTTGTTGTTATTGTGATAAGTGTCAGAATGAGCACCAGTAACAACAGAAAGCGTATAGTTTTTAAACAAAAAATATCTGTTAAAGTGAATAATCAAATTATAAACTTGAAAAAACACTCTGAGAACACAAACATTTGCCAAAGCCAACAGTCCAGTCTTCTATGATATCCACAACACTCACTTTAATTACAACTTTTTTTTACAAGTTTGTGCCGTTTAATCCGGAAAAATCACATCCCTGATTGCTTATTTCTAACTTACCTGCTGCATTTGTTTCTACAGTGATGTTTGAGGTGGCGGATACTCTTTGTGGTACTTTTAGTCCCATCATTCACTTTAATTACGACATTCAGATCATTTGCTTTGGGAAAGTGAAAGATGACTCGGATCCCCTCTAAAACTTAATGGGTTCGTAGGGGAGATGACTGACTGTAAAGCGTCGTATTTATCACTGTGTTGGCCAAAACAGGACTTAATGCCGGGATGTGCTTTCTGCAGTAGCACAGGCATGAATGGTCGAGATGGAGGATAGTTCTACGTAATTGTATTCAGATGGTGTATACATGATTTTTTTTGTCTTTGATGCACAACTTTAAGGAGAACACATTGTCAATAGGTGGTAATCTGTTAGGCTGCCAACAATGGAGCACACAACGTAAGGAGCACATTGCAAGAAGGATCACGGTGATAACGTCACCACCACACTCGACCCGACTGCTTCCTCAGTGTGTTAAGTAAGGAACACAAAGGTCCAAAACAAACTGATCTGATTTCTCCATAATGAATATTAAAGTCAAAGTTGTTTTAGAGTCTTCCTTGGCTAATGCTTCACCAAAATCATAATCTCCTTAGTGAGTAAGATGAGTTTTTTTTTTTTTTTTTTGAAAATAAAAAATTAAAAAAAAAAATTAAAAAATAAAATAAAAAAAAAAAAAAAAATTTTTTTTTTTTTTTAAAATAAAAAAAAAAAAAAAAAAAAGGGGGGGGGGGGGTGTTAGAAAAAAAAAAAATTTTTTATTATTTTATTTTTTTTTATTTATTTTTTATTTATTTTTATTTTTAAAAAAAAAAAATTTATTTATAATTTTAAAAAAAATTTTTGTTTGTTTAAATAAATTTATTTTTTTTTTTTTCTCCTTACCTCAACCGGGAGGGGGGGGTTTTTTTTAAAAAATTATGTAAGAGGAAATATATATATATATATATATATATATATATATATATATATATATATATAGTTTTTGTACTTGTACTATTTTATAATCACAGTGATGGCAGACAGTATAACTAGAAAAACACAAGAAGTTCTCATCTGTTTGTCTAAAATAAAAAGAAGCTTTCATATACTAGCCTTCTTTTATGTAAAAAATATCTCATCTGTTTCATTATTATTGTTGTGTTGGCATTGTTGGGTATTTTACAGTATTACATTTTTGTGTGATTTTATTTGCCTCACTGCAGTCCTTTATTAAAAAACAATGTAAAACACTTTGTTTTGAAAAGTGCTGTGGTGTGTGTGTGTGTGTGTGTGTGTGTGTGTGTGTGTGTGGACATGTATTAAATCTGACAGTGTGTATGTGTCAGAGCAATGTGAGATACAGCTACTGAAGAAGATGCTGTGTGTGTGTGTGAGAGAGACAGCGTGTGTTCACAGTGAACACTTACAGTATTAAAGATCAGGGAGAACAAGAGTGAAAATCAGGGTCAGTCAGCGGTTAGCTGTCACTGTCTGTTACTGTAACAACTTCAAATGCTCACTGGTCTCCCAACAATAAGTGCTGGGAATTTTTTTCTTGTCCTTTTAAATAATCACAACTATCAAGAAATGGTTGCCTTGTTGTTTGAGAAAGCTTTATTGTTCAGATATCCCCTTCGGTTCCCTCTAAATATCTAAAGCTGAGTAGGCAGCAGGGTGGTCTGGTAAGAGAAACCACCTCGTATTTAAAGGTCACATATTTAATATTTAATTCCAGCAGCAGCCATTTGTCCTGCTTAAACGTCCTTGAGCAAGACAAACAGCCGCTGCTTTTTCACTCACTGTAATGTGCTTTCGGCCAGAGGGGCGAGAGCAAAGTTAGTCCAACTACAGAGTCTCTCTCTCTCTCTCTCTCTCTCTCTCACAAAAAGGAGCTGCTGCTCTTAGAACAAAGGATAGGAAAGGATGGCGTTGGTCAGTTGATCATAGTGTGGTTTTTATAGGCTGCCATTTTTGAAGGGGTTTGTTCAGGACATTTCATTGACTTCATCAATCAAACAACCTTAACCTTAACCCAACCTCAGAATGACGTTATGCAGCATTAGGACAGGTCTGTCCCCATGAGGACAACTGATCCCGACAAGGTCGGTGTTAATACCATAAAAGGTCCCCAATCAGTAACAAAAACCACGTATATACACACCACTTGAAGATCTCCTTCAGCAGGCAGTTTGCGGTTGTCTGCGTTGTTTTCTCCTCTTCCTCCTCCGTCATTGTGACTGTTGGCCTCCTTCTCTTTCTGCTCAAAGTACTCCAGGAAGGACGGCTTGGCCGGCTGCATTGTCTCATCTCTCCCTGCGAGGCAACACAATCAACATTTACTTTGTTACAGCGGTGATACTGGAGCTGAACCACATTTACAGTTAAAACACAAAGACACATACACAAGAGTTTAGTTTACAGCAAGAAATGCTATAAACTCCACAGTGGACCATACGTAATTAATTATATATCTATCTTAATATATCTCTGACAGGTTTCAGAGCCAACACACAGGGCCACAGCAGTGCAGCCCTGTGGGTACACAGACGTCCTCTAGCTGTCCCTGCAGGAGGATGAAGGCTTGGTTGAATTTAATACTTGTGGATGAGGTTATAAAAAGGCTCTCTGTGCACAAATATGGAAGATGCTACATTAGCAACTATAATTAGAGTAAAGACATTTGTGAAATATTTCTGTGTATGTCATTTACTTTCTCTAATCCCTTCCAGCTTCAAGCTTCTTAAAGAGAAGGATAACAATGATGCATTTCTTAGTCAAACAGTCACATCATGATTCAAGATAGGAGAATGTTATTTTGAGATGACACAATAATTCAAACAGTGTTTTTCCTTTGAATCAGTTTCAAACGTACAACTACTGACATTTAATGTAATTCTGCAGTTCTGATCTGATTCAGATAGATTTGTATATTTGTTGATACAGAAATATATGTTGTATAGTCAGTCCTGATGATTTCTGTGAGACTTTCAGACAATCAAACAACTCCCATAAGAATGAATGCAAGCTTCAAACAACATGTCTGTTCCTCTCTGTACATCCATCAGTCACCTCCTTTCTCCCTTTCTCTCTCTCTCTCTCTCCCCCTTTCTTTCTGTTTCTCACTGAGTGAATTTTGTCAGTGGCAGCCGATACCGTTATCGGATCAGTCCCAACTCCACAAGAAGGTGGTGATTTCCTTTTTTTCCCCAAAGCACTGTCATCAGTCTAACACTGCACCACCGCAGATACAACTTCCAGTCAGCTGAAGTCAACATGAGGCGGCTGCAACAGTTTGTGCTCCTTCTGCATAAAGAAAGAGGGACATGATCTTATTTCTGTTGCAGCAGCAAAATAAACACAAGTTTTGGAATACATACCGTTAATGCCTCACTGCACCCTCTTTGTGCCTTCTAAACATAAATGACTTACAATCCAGTTCGATAAGGTGCTGTGATAAATAACAATACCAGCAAAGAGAGAAAGGAAGCAGCACCATTTTGAACGAGCAGACTACAATGATATTGTAGAATCAATGTTTAAATTAAGACAGCACGGTGACACGAGTGTGCAAATTTCCTTCAACCAAAAAGATCTGGAAAAGATCTCAAGTGTCCCTGAATCCTCAACCGTAACAGGCAGCTGCTGCACTCTAACCTGAGCACGAATGGGTAAACATAAAGACAGTTTCCCTTCCCGGATCAATGAAATGTTGCATTATTAAAGCGGCAATAAGCACAGAACAAGATTACCATAATACATCCACGCTAACTTGATACAATTGGTGATCAATACCACAAAAATGAGTCCCTTGGCCAAGAACTGAGATCTGAGACTTTTAAAAATCACTTGCAATGAAAAAATAACATACTGCTGGTTTACAACACATAAAGGACACACACAGCAGGTCAGATCTGAACGAATGTTATTGAGAGAGCACTTTAAACCACTTTACTATCCAAGGCTGCAGCGGTTAAATTAATCTGTTATCATAAAGTGTACATCTGTTTGTCTACAGTATTTCATTCCACTGTATTAGAGTTATTAAAAACATACAGGAATTAATATATTCATTTTAACTGATGATAATATTTGTGTAATCTGTTATATGATGAAACTGTGATATTTTATTGTTACTGTACAGTGAGAATCTCAAACAATACGACTGCAATCCTTTTACAATCAGTTTAAAAGTTAACACCATGGTTTGGCTCGCAGCTTCATCTTCAATCCTGCTACACGAGTGAAATTCAGCCTTAATAATAATGGTGACACTTTTTTAAAAGAAACACTTCTTCATAATGTCCTTTCAGTTGCTTTTTTATGACCAACAACCATTATAATTTAATTTCAGAAGGTGTTAAAACTCAGGAAGTACAGTTTGTCCAGCAGGTCTCTCTCTCTGCAGTAACATCATTTATAATGATAATGATATTTTAAATGATTTTTAATGATCAAACATCTTTATACTGGCCGCACTTCAGTTCTTTTTATAATCCTTAATAATTATGAGGGGGATTCAAAACCATAAAACCCTCCCAACAAATAAAACTAATTTTGTGAATCAGCAGTTTGCTCTCTCTAAATGCAAAAATCATTCACAACTCTAAACTAAATGACTAAAACTATTACTTTCACTCACTTAAAGCACTTAAAAGAGGAATAAAAACAACCCAAATCATTTTATACTTTGTGTTGAATGTATAAAGTAAAGATATCTCACTGTGATGTTTGTTGAATGAGTTAAAATGTGCTCTTAATGTATGCAACGAGTGGTTGACTGTATGTGTGTGAATGTGTTCAGCAACAGCTATAGAAACAATTAGTGTGACGAGTTAATGAGACTATATACATGGTTCATTGGACAAACTCTGGTCTGCATCTTTAATTTTACCTAAGTGGGTCCACGAGGGGAGCAAATCAATGAGTGCATCAGTTCAGTTCAGCGTTTGATTCACGGCTTTAATAAGCTGCTGTGGTGTTAGAGAGGCTGCAGTTTCCACTCCTACAGTACAGGGAGCTCTCACATACAGCCACATTATCAACAGAGTGAAAACAGGTGCTGTTTCTATTAGTTCACATTCTTGACTTTCTATTACGGTCCATTAGGTTGACCCTTACACTCCATTATATAATAACGTTTTTCATAGATTTATTGTAACATTTGGCTCTTCCCAGCTTTGTTTTAATTTGACAGTAGAGTCAACTGCTAGCACACTTTAGACGGAGGAACTCTCATGTTATAGCAAAAGGAAATCAGAGCAATAAAATAAATGTATTGCCAATAATCAGGTTATATAAATGGATGAGGAATAACTACCAGGATTGTGACTCGAGTTCAACAAAGACAGATTTTGATCCAGCAGGTTGTGTAGCTTAGATCGGTTGAAGGCATTTAAATGATCTTTACTGTCTAAAGCTCAAACTTCTTACATCGCGTACGACCTCAGAAAATATCTGTATCTCTAAGTAACACCACTATGACCGACATTAAAGTACAGCAGTGTATGCCGACCCGATCACAGTTCATGTAGGAGGCAATTTCTTAGTTTGTATTTATTCCTAGTTTTTAATTTATCACTTACATCCTTTATTTGGAATCACATCTGGACATTTCTCTTTTAATCTCAGTCAGCCCAAGAGTGTCTTCAACAAATAGATAGTTTATTCCTAATAAGATTATATATTGGCGACTGCACTACAACTGCAACTTAAACTCTTCACTCTCATATACTGCAACACTGGTCCTTTAAGGGTTTATTCTGACCAGGTTGTTAACAGGGAATACAGTACAGAGGAGATTTACAGCAGCTCTGACCAGAACTAACATATCGCCCAATCGTAGCAGAGATTATATCCAAGATGTCAAATTTAGCCATGTTGACCCCTGGCTCTCCAGTCCCTCCGCAGAAACTCTCGAGGTGCACCATCACTGGTATCTTCACCTAAATGTACGCAATGCTTCTGCACGTGTGGCAAATTAAAGGAAAGAACAACGATGCTACTTCCCAAAGTCTGTGGACTGATGCGATGCTTATCTCACATTAGCTACGAGCTCTTGGTGAGCTGACAGTTTATCAACGTCCTGTTGCTGCTGGTTTGTTTCACAGTCTGTCTGCCAACTGGTGGTCAAAAACCGCTTAATGCAACTGTAAACATTTCCAAGGAAACAAACCTGTTATTGAAGCCTTATGTTTGTCAGAATTTGTCAACTTTGTGTATTTTTAGCTCGATAATGATGATTAATGGAGACACTGTCCCTAACATCTCATCGTTGATCTCACTTGTGTCTCTGTAGTTGGTTTCCATTCAAGCATAAAATCAATTTAAAGTCTAGTATCCTCCTGCTGTGAAATAATTTATGGCTGTTTATTCTACACTTCTGCTGCCAGGTGCCTCCACGCTGGACTGAGCTGCCAAGAGCATGGATCTCGGAGAACTCATTGTTTAAGGAAACCAGCTGCCGTTGTCCCAATATGGAGGTTTTTTTCCAACATAATCAGATGAAAGAAGGTCAGATCCATAAAAATCCATGTTCTAACATCTCTTTGATTCCCAGTTTGGTATCTGGTGTTGTTGGGGAACTTTAGCAATTATCTGACTGGTCAAAAACTCTTTCCAACTGTGCTTCACATTCCTATAAACTGTGACCTGCTGTGCTTTGTTGGTTGCTATATCAACCCCATGTGGAGGCAACCAAGCTAGTGAGCAGCGTTTTCCTCTGTCCTGTTATTATACTTACTGCATGTATACATTCTTCAGTGTTAGTTTACTCATTACTGTGATGGTTAGTATCACAACTGTGGTCAGTGTCACACTCATTGTGGAAAGGTTAAAGAGGTATTTTACCACTGGAAAGATGGTCTTCTCATAAAAGTCTATGCAGTAGAAAGACGCATCTTATTTTTTAATTGCTGCTACATGACCACAGAAAACAAAAAACGGAGGCTGTTGTTTTCCCTTTTTCTCAAGAAGTAGAAAACAACCAGAATCCACTGGACCACTAAAAGCTACAGATGGTAGGTGACCTACTGAGTTGACCACTGCTTGGTTTTTGTTCATCCGTTTTCAGGCAGGATAAAATGGCAGCCCTGTCACAAACACTTTCGTATTACTGATAAATATGTACAATAAAACATGTTTCTGAAAACATTCAAAGTGAGAAATAGACAATGTAGTAACAGAATCTTGAATCATATTTGATAAAAAGTGCCTAGTTTGATGGTTTCATCTCGATTTCATGAGCCGGTGTTACACCGTATTTGGTGACTCATCAGATTCTGTGACCTGCCTTGATATTGGACCCGTTCAAGATG